TGGGTAGCTCAATTCGCATGCCCATCTTCGGTGACTACAGACCGTGGACAGCAGTTTGAATCAACCCACTTCAAGAAGCTCTTAGAGCTGCTGGGGTGTAAACGCATCCGAACAACCGCGTACCATCCAGCAGCAAATGGACTTGTAGAACGTTTTCACCGCCAACTGAAAGCTTCGTTAATGGCTACCGAGAATTCTAAGTGGACCGAGTCCCTTCCCCTAGTGCTACTTAGCATCCGTTCCACGCTCAAAGCAGATTTACAGTGCACCTCCGCAGAGTTGGTGTTTTGTACCACCCTTCGTCTACAGGGTGAAATTATCTCACCTGAAAGTGGTGAGCCAAGTGCTACGGATGTACATTGTTATGCTCAGAACCTCAAGCGCCTTATGCAGCGCCTGCAACCAACTCCCACACGCACACAAAACAAGAGAGTGCAAGTGGATACTAGACTCGATGACTGTACACACGTTTTTGTACGTTGCGACGCCATTCGTAGACCGTTACAACCTCCTTATGATGGACCATTCAAGGTCGTTAGTAGGAAAGACAAGTTTTTTGTTATTGATCGACTTGGCCGTCAAGAAACCGTAAGTGTCGACAGACTTAAAGCAGCCTACATCGAAGAATCTGTACCCCTCACGCCTACACAACCAGCAACTACGCCCGCACCCACACCCCAGCCAAGTTCGATTGTCCAAAATCCTACTAAACCTAGCAGTTCTCCGGATGAGACAAGTAAAGCACCGGTTACACGCTCTGGTCGGCGTGTACACTGGCCTAAGCGATACTGTGAATTTGTTAACTAAACGCTTTTAATTACAAGAGTAACTCATACCTTCATGTCTTTTCTCACGTTACATTCATTTTTCATGATATTTACTCTTTTGGGTTTCATTTGTGGGCAGTAGCCACTTTTTCATTTACTAATCCTGTTAGATTTCTTTCTCGTTACAGAGTGTTCTAACAATTTATTTTTGGCGTTGCACTCGAACCGCTAGCTAGACCAGTCCATTCCATTGTCGTATGGTGACTCCCAACACTTGTGGAATTACAAACCAAACGAACAAAAATATAGACCAAAAAAAATGATAAAATAAATAAAAAAATATAATAAAATGTAACTCTTACACACATATACTCAAGGGACAGAACAGTCCCACGGTTCAAGGACAGCCGCTCCTGGACTTCAGCGGCGATTATGAACTTTGGAGGTTCCGTACGCAATCCATCTTAAGCAGTTTTTCCAAACAAGATCGATATGTTGGGACAGTGGTATCACTGACCAGAGAGGCCCTTCGCCATGCGATCGCCGGAGGTCAATTGCCAGTCAGTACCCTCGCATAATAATACTCGCATATCATACTAGTGTTTCGGAGTGGACTGCAGCTCGCCCAACTATCTTCACTCCTTCTTGAAAAGCTGGAGGCAACCTGACGAGAAAGCGGAGGGTTACCTTGTAGCTGCTGAATTTTGATTAAACTGGCATACACGTACACCTTAGTACTTCCTCGCGTTTATGATTGTGCCCTAACGTTGCGATTACTCGACATCCGCAACGTAATTCAAAAGGCACTTGCGAAGGAATACGATAGTGTATTATTGCAGCAATCAAGATTCAAAAATCGAGCGAGTACAAAAGTATCAATTGTTAACATGCAAGATTTAGAGTAATAAACAAATCAAAGTACAATTACATAGTGAAAGTATACTACGATGATGAGTAATAAAACGGGTCACTACAATAGCCCCTCCGTAGAATGCAGGTAAATGAAGTTTACCTGTATTCGGAATGATATTGTAAATTACAAGGACAAAAAGAAATATGGAAACCGAATTGAGGCTTTTTAGTTTTCTGAGGTTCGATTATAACTGTTTATATTCGAAAATGTTAACAACTTTGAAACGAACTAAAATATTTAGAAAGTTGTGGAACCTGTAACAATAAAAGCAGAAAAATTATTAGAATAATAATGAGGTTGTTATTGTGAAGAGTTACAGAATAGATTTATATCTTAACATACAGTTAATAGTATAGTAATAAGGAAGTATGGAAATGAATTGGGTAAACATTCAGTTACCTCTATTTCCATGAAAGCTGGTTGTACAAGTGGAATTGTACAAGAAGAGATGGCTGTGCCAGAGAAGAGTGCAGCAGTAGCTGCTGCTGCTGATACGGTTGAAAGTGAACGTCCGTCAGTATGTTGTTGCTGTTGCTGGGGTGTTGTTACTCGGCGTTGAGGAGTAAGTTGAATTGATGTTTGCTGCGGTTGGAGAGTAGAAGTTGGTTGATTGATAGCCATTCCAACAAGAGCAGTTAGCACAAGCTGTGGTAAACCAGTGGTTTGAATCAATTGACCGTTAGGAACAACAGTCATGACTTTCAATGGAGCTCCTGGTGCCAGAGTGATAAACTGGGGAGTAGCATAGGAGCATGTAGCTACAGTACAAGGTTGACCACTGACAGAGACGTCAGTTGCCATCATTGTTGCTTGTTGCTGATGTTGTTGGATATAAGCTTGCTGTTGAGCTGGTTGTAACTGATGAGCTTGTGCTTGAATCTGTTGTTGTTGAGGTGATTGGGTAAACTGTTGTAATTGAACAGTTGTAGGACCGGCTTGAGTAAATGGAGTTGCAGACCATTGTAAGAGTGTTTGCACACCTGTAGACAATGCTGAAGCTTGAGGACAGAGAACTGGAATTGAGGTGTTGCATAACAGCCAGCTGCTTGAGTATCAGGGTGAACTGGGATAGCAGTCGCTGTGCCGCCAGGTCCGGAGGTACTTTTAGCAGAAATATCAGTATTTATACATCCAAATGTTATGAAGTTATAAAAGTTAATGCGATGGCAAAGATGATTTATTCCACTGTGTATACTTCGAAATGATGTAGTCCATCAATCAGCTCTGTCGGGCTCGCCAATTTGTTGCTGCTATATTTTGACGGAACTAGAATACACGTACTCCTTTGTACTTCCTCGCGTTTATGATTGTGCCCTAACGTTGCGATTACTCGACATCCGCAACGTAATTCAAAAGGCACTTGCGAAGGAATACGATAGTGTATTATTGCAGCAATCAAGATTCAAAAATCGAGCGAGTACAAAAGTATCAATTGTTAACATGCAAGATTTAGAGTAATAAACAAATCAAAGTACAATTACATAGTGAAAGTATACTACGATGATGAGTAATAAAACGGGTCACTACAACCTCCACCACCTAAGACAGGCGGCATCGCGTACATTCTCCACAATGTCCGAAGCTAACCGTAGTGAGGCCACCCACATACACTTTGCCCAGAGACTTCTATGACACTATTTGAAATGGCATTTGTTGTTCACCCCAGCATAATCTATATCTGAAGCATTGAGGAAATCAGTCGATTCAAGAGTGTCCACTTCGTCCTTCCGCCAACTACCAATTCGTCGTGCTATGCTCTAGAATCCTCAAACCAGAGGCCACGTGTCGCCGCGCCCCGACAGCACATTGAAAATGTGCTAGCACCGGAGCCACTCGCAGGATCACTCACAGCATGCCCAAAATCGAAAGTTCTCGACAAAAGGTGTGATTGTTGCCGAAAGTTTGATTGTAAAGCGTAGCAGTATGTCCAAAGATAATGAAGACGATCCCAGTGTATCAACCTTCACTCACTCAGTTTCGTTGGACTCGCTTCCTGCTGCTAACACTTTGACCGAAGTTTTACCGGTACAGCCACTCCTCTTCACCACTTAGCGGAGAAGGGATGGAAGTTTGTTTGAACGAGTGAGTACCAAGAGGCATTTCATACTCTTAAAACGTGTTTAACTTCTCCTCCCGCTTCAGAGGAAGTCATTTCATCCTGGATACTTAGGCAAGTGTTCAGGCAACAGAAGCTGTTCTCTCACAGTTGGCACTTGATGGGCAGGTGAGGGTTACTGAGTATGCTAATTTTATATTGAATGAGAGGGGGACACATTATCACACGGCTCGTTCTGAGAAGTCGGCTGTTGTGCATTTTCTAAATTACTTTCTCCATCATTTATTGGGGCACGAATTTCAGGTTTGGACAAATCATAGAGCGTTGCAATGGTTGCAGAATTTCCGTGCTTCAGACGGCCAACTTGCCCGCTGGCTGAAACACCCACTAGAGTTCGACTTCACTTATGAATATTACCCTGTAAGGCGATATGCAGATGCCGATGCTCTCTGTCGCCTTCCTAGTTTTGACCCAACAGTAAATTCCCTTCTTGGTACAGCAGCAGATATTGGCTGGGTGTCTCTGCAAGCAGTGGACGCAAACATATAACCCGTTTACTTACTACAATGGCACGGGGACAATAAATGAGCATTTAATTATGAGGTCCCCCTCACAGCTACGCAATGCATCTGTATAAATGGAGTCTGTTGTGCCTAGAAGACGATTTTCTCGACATAGTAGAAATGAATTCATTCCTCTCCTAGTTCCGAATGTAGGTGTATAGGAGGTCATTAGTCAAATAAATTCCAGAAAACCACTTAGTTAGTCTGCTTGAAAGATTTTGAACTCGTTTCCAGTTGGTTTCGAAACTATCGGTAAAAATTGTAGGTAGAGTATGGTCTTTTGAGTGTCTGGTGCTGTCAAACACTATCTGGTCCATATCACTAAGTAATTAGAATAAAAGTTTACGGATTATTAAAAAAGCTATCAAAGTTTAATTTGTATTCCTCTTCATGACTTTTTGAAAATTTAATTTCACTGTAATCTAGTCAGTTATTTAACAGTAACTGCCAGAGTAACTGAGATCTATGGTCAAAATAGACTTTCGTATATATAATTTACAGACTAATTTGCATAAGCTACTTCTTCAGAACTTTCTTGCTGAAATAGTAGTAATATTTCTCACTATTTATCACAAAAATACTGAATGAAGGATTCGTGCACGATGCGCATCAGGGCGAGATCAGTTTGACGACATTTTGTACAGTTCAAACTATAAAATTCCAACAGTCAAAATAGTTAAATTAGGAAAAGTAAACGAATGTATGAACAATTTGGATTTATTTCTGCATAATGAGGTCTTAAAATAAAATGGGCGGAATATTTCTTATGGACAAGAAGAATTCAGTATCCTAAATAGATATAATCATATCGGTAACAATAATGAACACATTAGCTTAAAATTTCAAAAGAATGGAAGTAGATGTCTTTTACATGTTCACTGATCATGAAAATACATTGTTTTAAAAGTATTGTTTGAAATAAAGTCATTATTATTGTTATTGTTAAAAGGATGAAAATCAAATTTTAAAATCTACCACAAATGGCATTTTTCAGGAGGATTCATTGGAGAACCGACTGGACAATTGTAGGCCTTTGCGAATTCCTTACTGTTTGAAATAACACCAGTTACTCTATTTAAAAAAAATAAAAATAATATATTGAGATTTTATGAATCAATATATATATATGTATATATATATATAATTAAGCCCAAGTATATAAGGGAGTCTGCTGGAGGATTACTAGACATTTGTAGGTTTTGCAAAGGAAAGCTGAAAGGGTGTAGTTAAATGATAAATAAATGTGATATTTCTCATATTTAGTTTGAATCCGTTCAACAAGATGTTTTCACACTCATTTTAATAGTGGGTTATTGGTGAACAGTAACTTTTATGTCACATTATCGACAATATACATCATCGTATAGTGAAGATGTTAGCTAGTTTGAAAGATATTGACTGTACAAATGAACTGCATTGTCAGTCCATCATGTTCTAGTTGTAATAAAAATTAAATTGCCGATTCATAATGTCACTAAAAGAAGTTAATTTTTAATTAACTTAAACATTTTTATTATAATGTGGTTATGTTCTCTGAGCTGAGTGATTTAACTTCGGAGCTTCTGTGTTCTTCTAGATAATATTTTTAGGGTTTACTTGGAAGTGAAGTCCTCGATTTTGTGTAGGATGACGTTTTTTTCTGAAATTAGTTCTCAAAAAGGTAACCTTCAGTGAAGTACAGATTCTTGTTGATTTATTTACATCAAGACTTTCTATAGACAAGTTGGTACTATTCTGACTGTAGATAAAGTTAACTAAAGTAATGTAACACTATGAGTACTATGGATATTGAATTAAACAGTTATTAAATCTCACCTTTCCTTTGTCTGTAGCTTAGCATTTGAATAAGCATTTTCGAGCATTCCTTCTTGACTCATATACCCACAGAAACTCTTAAATACGAAACATAATAAAACAAAAGGGATTGGATGAGTAGATTATGAAAGCATTGTGATAGAGTTTAAAGGGTAAAAAGCATGTGACACATACTGTAACAGCATAAGGCAAGACACAGAAGCCAAGGCATATTTTTTATTGATCACACCGCTGTTTATATATATGTAGTTTTATATTCTCTAATCAGTCACTGAGCGTGTGACTCTGGCTTACACTAAACGAAATGAAATAAAATGCTCAAATATACATAGTGTTCTGTTGCTAACGCAATACTGAACTGTGGGAATATATGAGAATAATATTCCGTTGGAACACATTAATTGTATCACACCACTACAATATTACTGACTACTTTCTTGAAGTGATTTTAAAGCATGCCGCTGAACTTACCAGTTTTGCAAGTCTGTGGCAGTGAATGGTGTATGTTAGTTGCAGACTTCAAAGTTAAACATTTAATGATGTATTTCCGTTGCTTCATGCTAGAATGTGTGATTTCGCCTTTATTAATATCCTGATGACACTCATTCAAACTGGTATATTTTGGAGGTATGTTTTACTATCACTCAAAAACAAATATAAGAAAATAATAAGAATAACAAAAATTATTGAATTTTAGCCTCCTTTTTAAGAAAAAGACTGAGAACTATAGGCGAGGTTAATCGATAGCAGCCATTTAGGTAGATATCCTTAGTAAACCAATTAGAATTTCATGTGATATAACCGAATTGAATCAAGCCTTCTGTTTTGAAAACGCTGAACGAGTTCCAAAAAGATCGAGTGAACAATGGATTAAATTTATAAGCAGACAGAACAGCCCAATTCTTCTCAGGTTTTCCAAAGCAATCTCTATCGAACACCTGAAACCTGATTTATATGTTCAGAAAGAAGGAATTATCAGTTTTCCACTTGACATGGTAACTGGATGTCTTTATTCTCTCTTTCATCTGATTACCTTATCTTTGGCTTTAACTTCTCCCCTTTGATATAGTGTAACTTTGCTTGTCTGTCATTTCTATGATATCAGTTGAACTTACCACACTGTTACTCATTTTGTTAGTTGCTTGTCTGCTTATTCACCGCTTGTCTTTACTGCATGATTCTTTTGCCACTATATCCAAGCTCTTATTTTTTGTTTAAATTTGAATTCTGTGGGTAAAAGCTTTATAAGTGTAATGCTGTGAATACTGCTTATTAAGTTTGGAGCCTCCTGCCAACTGACATCATGCAAAATTCACAAGTATGTTAAAAGTTATTTTTTTTAAACTAAACTTTATAACAATTTATTTAGGCTGTAAGCAGATAATGAGAAGCCAATGAAAAAAAATGATGGTTCCATCTTATTCTGCGCAAACTGTTGTTCTTGCTTTATTAAAATTCACAGAGTGGCATGAATGTATGAAAAGAATAGGAAGTCTAACATGGACAGCTGGTAGTCTGGAAGCATTTGGATTTTAAAGGTAGACTAAAGAACAGAATCAGAACTACAAGCAAATCCCAGAATACCATGATCTCTTTTTCAAAATTGTGCTGTTTTGTTGCTCGTTAACTCTAGTTAGTTGTCCACGGCCATTCGTAAGGTTTTTTTGATTTAGATTTTTGATTTTTGATTACAGCTTGATTCCACACCGTATTTTCAGTACAAGTATGGCATTTTCAGCATGAATATCGGTAGCCCAAATTCTGCAGGCCAACCATAGATATCGGGTGTGCGCCGGCAGGGGATCGAACCTCGGACCATGTGCATGGTCGGCGAGAGTCCTAACCACTGTGCCACCGACCGAACTGGCTGTTATAGTTTAACCTCACTGGATAGCCTAACACTCATTATTTTAGTACATACACTTTTCAAAGGGAAATTTTTATTTCCAGTCAAATTTCCTTGATGAGGCCACTTGTTTCTACTGACAGCAAGGCCAAAACCGAGGAGAATGAATCACTTGATGCTTCACCTTATTGAGTGGTTTTTTAAAATAATTTTGGTTCACGCTGTAAATAGCTTTTCATCTGTCGAAAATGGATGAGCGACCTGACATCTGAAATCCATCTCCTCTTCAGACATTCTCTTGTCTTTTGATTCTGTATTCTGTGTATGTTGTAAGATGTCATGGCATTTCGATGTACAGATATAGGCGAAATACATTTACCGTATATTAAAATCACAATTTGCACATGTTTGCTGCGTTGTGCTATTTTCACCTTCCTTGCAAGTATTTTCTGCTCTTTTACAAAAATAGTTTGTTTCTTTCCTCTGTCATTATATCCATCGCTCCACTATTCGATGATATAAATATTTACACCTGTATCTATATACTACTTATAAATCTTGTCAGTAGCGTTCGCAATAATGTGAACAGTAGAACAATAAATTGTTTTCGAAACGTCATCCAGTAGATAATACTGTTTCACCGTGTGATATACCTCATAAAAAAATAATTATGGAATTACATACTACCACAGTACCCAAGTTTTACAAATATATTAATCCCCTTTGTGTGTAGTTGTTAACAAATTCATAAGTCAAATTAATATGCAACAAACATTTCATAAAACTTCGTTATTGCCTAAACTAATGGCGTAGGCATTTAGAAGTCAGTGCTGAAGATATCGTTTAGAAGGAGAATGGAAAGTTTGCAGTTAGGCTACTCGGATAAGAGAACAAAACAGTACTAACAACATAAGTCATAAATCGAAATTTTCTCCATCCCTTCGAAATCTCTCACTATCTAGGAAATTACGTTTGACATTAGCCAGATTATTTAATGCTGCTAATCCTAGGGAAACTACAGATGGACTGGACACACGTTGAGGAGACCATCGTGCGCCAGTCAGTTGCTTGAGTGTAACTCTATTGGGAAACAACAAGCGGAGCATCTGAGGGTGACATGGAGGTGATCGTGTGAGGTGGAGATGAGAGACCATGGGCAATCATGGAGCTTGCTGAAGAGGGCCACAGAAAATAGGACAACGTGGAGATGTTCGATTGAAGCCCCATGTTCTGCATGCAGCCCAAGGGGACAATGAATAATAATAAGTGTACCGCCAATAGATTTAATGAATTCTTTTACAATGTACTAGCTTCGAATTTTTAGACACTTGGTGTATTTAGATAATCATATCTTGTCATATGCATATTTATAATGCTGAAAAATGCGTAGTGGATATAAAAGTGTGTTCACACAGTGAATAAAAGAACAGTCAGGTATATATGTCAGGTATACGGTACATAGGTTTGTGAATTAGCCAAATAGTCAGAGCTAATTTTAAAGCTGAATTGTGTGTTGACTACTGTACGAGAATGGCATTAAACATTTTAAAAATCCATTAGAAAATTTTTTAAAGGGGGAAAGTACAGCATGACATAGAAAAAAGGAAGTTATGACACAATAGAATTCTTGATCAATTACAAATTGACATGTATAAAATACTCTTGCTTTCATAAATAACCGCGCCCAGTTTATTAGCTGGTCCTAAGCCAAGTAAAGAAGGCTGGTTGGACGTAGTAGAGCTAGCAACCCTATAGTGTAGAAAAACAAACCCGTTACTTCTGAAACTTCAAACCACACAAAAAAAAACTTATTTTCTGCTGGAATCGAGAAGACTGCACAATTCAAGGACGAATTATGCCAGTGAGTGAGACCCTTTGGGAAACCAGTTGGTCTATATGTTTTCTTTCGATGTACGCACTTGGAATGTTCACACCATGTTTGAGACTACTCATGTATGCTGAGCCATTAGTCAAGGGTTTCATAGAAAAAATTTCAGCAAATGAATTTATAGGCATACATGACAAATTAGCATGATTAACGCAAAGAGGAGAATGTTAGATTTTTCTCTAGTCCTTCAGAAAAAAACTAAGGAATAAAAATGAATCCCTGAAAGTGTAGTAAATAAATATGACCTATCTAACACGTCTGCACCATCAACGGGAGAGATTTAACAGAGGTTACTTCCTTCACTTATACAGCCAGGAATCGTTGTTTCGACCACACACACACGGCACAGATGAACATGTCAGAGCCAGCCAGAATCGGAAGGACAGTCTGAAATCAATTTGGAAATCTTCTGCAATTACTCAACATAAAGAGCAAGATTCGGGTTCTCAACACAAATGTGAAGTCAGTCAGTCAGTCAATTCTTCTATACGAGTCAAAAAATTGCACTGCGTGTCACAAAAAGGATTTCCAACAGCCTACTGCAGAATTTTTATCAACAGCTGCCCACTTCGCTGGCTATATATTGAAGATCCAGTGACCAACCAGCCAGCCAGCCAGCCAGAAAGAATTAGCAACAAGAAACTCTGTCTGGGAGCAAACCAAATTGTCTATCTTGACAAGTAAATTATAGATGACAGACAGTTTTTTGCAATCAACAGTCTAAACAAATTATATTAACTTTAATATTAATTGGTAAAATACTGATTTTTTTAAATTAAATACATAACTACCAATATATAAACAAAATATTGATCATAAAAGTGATTATATTTGCATTAACATACCTTAGCATATTTGAGGAAAAATAATTGATCAGAAGTAAGAGGGGAATTTGAATTTAGATAATTTTTTGCTGGAGTATTTTCTTTCAGTTTCTGAAATGCCTACAAAAACGCGATGTGTTTTGTATAGGAAATATTATATACAGTACAAATGATAACAAAACTTGAATTGTATAAATAAATAAGCTACGATATTTTGACGATAAATTAGTAGAAAAAATTCCCATAAAGTATGGGTAAGTTTTGTATAGTAACATTAGTGGAACCTTCTACTATTTACATTTCTTGAAGTGATAACAGTTAGTAGGATAGTAGTGTTAATAGAGACGAATAGAAATTCTAATTATACCTACCCTTGGAATCTCATGCTTTTATTATTTATTATCTTCAATTATTACGTTTTAATTTTAATGCAACCATCAGAATACATTCAGATGGGTCACAAATGAAGTTATAAATATGTTACTTCATAACCTGAAGTCAAGTGCCGTCTATACTTATTGCTACCGACTAGTCTTAATGCTGCTTAATAGTATTTCATTGTATAAGAAAACAGAATGCCACATACATATTTATTTCAGTTAATTTGAGGTACAGTCAATATGCTTGAATATAACCAGATCTGTAGTTCATATGACAAATATGTGATATTATATTATTATTGTTTCCTTTAATTCCTAGAGGAACATTGGGCTTCAGCCAACCGTCTCCATCACGTTCGGTTCTCTGCTAGAGTCTTCACCTGGCTCCAAGTCTGCCCACGCGTTTCCATCTCCTCTTCACATGACCTCCTCCAAGTCACCCACCCTCGCACTGACGACCAACTCGCCGCTTCTCTTTCGGGTTCCACTCGAGCAATGGCTTGTCAAGTGATGTCACTTGATGTTTTCCTCAGAGTATGGCCAGACAATCCATCTCCATTTCTTCCTGCTTATTTGTTGCACATTTGGTTCCTGGTTGGTTCGCACCCAGAGATCTCTGTTGCTGATCTTTTCTGGCCGGCCATCTGATATTGACTACTGAGTGAGGACAACTGTTAATGAAGGTCTGTAGTTTGTTTGAGATGCTCTTTATGATGCGCAGTGCAAGTCTCTGATCCGTATAGTAAGTAGCACTGACTTGACATTGCAGTTGAAAATCCGGATGTTATTTTTGATGCTGAGTGCTGTTCATCTCTTCCACACAGACTTGAGAGTAGTGAAGGCTTGTCTTGCTTTTCCGATTCTTGCTTTGATATCCTCGTCAGTTCCGCCTGTAGTTGAAACGATGCTTCCCAGGTTGGTAGGTAAAGGAGGTTGTTTCTTTCAGGTTCCTCCCATTTATGCTGATTGTTGTCTGTTGTTGTTGTTCTTGTCCAGGAATCTTCATCACCTCTGTTTTCTCTATGTTCACCTGAAGTCCTATCGGCGAAGTCCAGATCCTCCAAGTGTTTTGTGTGAGTCCATTTTATGCCTGTTTCCTCATTGCCTGCCGATGTTTGTCGCATTATCCAGTCTACTGCAATCAGGAAAATCATTGGCGATAGTAGGCAGCCAGCTTGTCTTACTCCTGTCCTCACTTCGAGGGATTCCGTGAGTTTCCCGTTGTGGATTACTTGGCATGCAGCATTGTCGTACAGGTGTTGGATGAGATGTATAATTGTTGTCGGCAACCGTTGGTAGTGGCAAAGTAGTTTCCAAAGCACCTCTCGATCGACGCTGTCGAATGCCTTTCCGAAGTCGATGAAGTTGAGATAGAGAGGTGAATGCCATTCCAAGCTTTGTTCAATGATGATCCGTAATGTGGCGATCTGATCAATGCATGACTTGTTTCTCCTGAATCCAGCCTGTTCCGCTCGAAGTTTTTCATCCAGGGCGGCATGTTTCATTCTCTCCAGGATGATGCGGCTTAGTATTTTGCTTGGGATGGACAGGAGCATAATTCCGCGCCAGTTCTTGCATTGACTTAGGTCTCCTTTCTTTGGTAGTTTGAATAAGTACCCTTTCTTCCAATCCTCGCGTACTTTGCCTTCTTCCCACACCTTCTCCAGTAGTGGCGTCATCAAGTCTGCTGTTGTCTCTGGGTCCATTTTCAATGCTTCTGCTGGGATTCCATCTGGTCCTGCTGCTTTTCCAGCTTTTAGCATCTTGATTGCCTTCAGGACTTCTGATTTCGTCGGTGGGTTGGTGTTGACTGGTAGCTCTGTCTCCGTTGTTGGTATTGCTGGGCGCGTTGTAGGTGGTGGTCGATTTAGGAGTCTTTTGAAGTGTTCAGCCCAGTGTTTCCTTTGCTCCACTTCTTTGGTGATTGACTTTCCATTATCATCATTCACCAGCTTAATTTGTGTCAAACGTTTGCCCGATAGGTACCTAGTTGTTTGGTAGAGTGTTGCGAGGTCTCCTTTGCCTGCAGCTTGTTCTGTTTCCCTTGCCATGGTTTCATAATACTTTCTTCTGTCTTCTCTGGCACTCTTCTTTACTCTTTTGTTCAGTGTCTTGTGGTTTGCATTCAAATCCTATTTTTATTGCTCATCGGTGCCCTGGATAATCTTTTGTTTCACCAGCCTTCTCTCTCCTATTAGTCTCCAAGTGTCCATAGTGAGCCACTGTTTGTCCTGTCTCTTCTTTCTGCCTAGAAATTCCATGCAGGTTTCACTCCACACTGTTTTCAAGTTGTTCCAGTGCTTTTCGACGCTGACCTCTTCGCTAGTGTTGATTTGTGTCTCAGCTTTTTCCTTTATGCTTGCAGTGAAGATGTCCTTTGTGTCCTGGTTCTTCAGTTTTTGAGTGTTGAACTTGGCTTGTGGTCTATCTGCAGCTACTGTTTCTCTGAAAGCTTTTAATATGATTTGGATTGTCCCTTGTACGAGATAGTGGTCTGAGACAGCGTCTGCTCCCCTTCTTACTTTTGTGTCCAGTAGGCTGCGCCTCCACTTCCTTGAGATTGAGATGAAGTCAATTTGGTTTTTGATTCGCCCATCTGGTGACACCCATGTAGCCTTGTGGATATCCTTGTGTTTGTATACGCTGCCACCAATCACTAGTTCATTGAAGGGTACGTTCTTATTGTTACTTCAATACGCAACAATACATGAATGTAAATTTAGTCACAAACTAACACCAGTCAGAGAGAAAGTTGAAAGCCAGGAAGCAATGGACATCTGTCTCGTCCTAGTTAGTTTCAGACGCATCAGTAGTGCACAACCATGACTCCACCAGCCATCGAACCCACGGCCTTCAGGTGACGAGACCAAGTTCACTGACGGTTCAGTCACTTCGGCTGAAATCCAGTGATCTGTATATTTTGACTATGTTAATTAGTGATATGGTGTTACCGTCAACCAGTGCCTTCGATGAGCATCCACGTCACCTTGAGAAGGCAACGTGAAGGTTTTGGGTCTGTTTGGTGTTTGTATCGTTGGCGCACACCTCAGAAGAATTCCAAACTGTGACGAAACAGCTGTCCATAGCACCCTGGTTTTCAGTGTCCTCTAACTGAGACTGGTTCGTGACGAAATCTACAGGGAAAATAATCGAAATCCATACAGAAAATCCATGATCTAAATATGTGAATAACCGCTCGAATAGAATTCTCAAGCTGAGAAATTTACAGAAAACTGTTTTGTCGCTCTTCGGGAAAGCAATAAGACGGGAAATTACACCTGATTATATACAAACTTCACAACAAATTACTAGTTTAAGATATAAAAGCTATGTTCTCACCAGATAGCATGTAGTAATGAATATTCGATGTCCCAGCATTTTGTCTACGTTAGAGTCAAATGTTTGGCTTACAGATGGCGTGCGAATCCCTGACTCATAATATTTCACTTTTTGAACTAAAATTAACTGACAAGTTGCTAGGATAGTCATTAAATACATTAGAGCACATGTGTCCAAATGACAGTACACTCATAACTCTATATCTTTTGAATGACTTAGCAACATGTCGTTAATAGTCAATCCTCTTTTCCTCATAACAAATCTGAGAAGATTTGCTCATGTCAAATTAAATTCCATATATAGCGATGTGATTCAGAGAATCACTGCATACCAGAACATATTGGGATAATTGTTTCATCCTAGTTTAAGACTAACCAGTAGCGTGCACCTACAACAAGACTATATACTGATACACATTAATTAAGAGTTACCATAGTATATATTTACAACTTATTTATTTCAAAACTGGACATTCTCATGATATAGAAACATACTTCATAGGACGCTTTTACGCCTACATTGTCCGCTAGAATCTCATCTATACTGAAAGCATTGTAGGCCTAAGTAAATTTTGAAATAGGAAAAGAATAAATAAAAATAACACATTTACTAATGTCACATCCCTTATGAAGTTATAAAACTATTAAAATATTTCAACCATATTTTTATAATGAATACAAATAAACCATGTACGACGATCTGAATTCCAAAGTTCAAGAAGGTTGGACGAATATTATTGATTTAGAATACTTGTTCATTTGATTGATCGAAATAATTTTGTTTTTACAAGTCTATCACTGAAAGATGGAGTAATCTAAACAAGGATTGTTGTAGGTCGACCGGGTTTGGTTTTAAAATAAATGAAGTTATTTCAGTGAATTTCTTTGGCCTGTATGTACACTAACGCTGTAGAACTTGTAATGATGGTTTTTTGAAAGCTAGTGAAGTCATATATTATATGGTTCTAAAGTGCAGTAGCCACTACTAAAGCTGTAGAAGATCAATAGTAAGTACTGTTACTTCAGTGAGACTTTAAAACACAAAGTATGATACAATGTAAAGTCTGGCAAATGGATGGTTATATTTTAGGTCTAATTAATGCCAATTAAACATCCATATTAGCTTTTCAAATAATTCTAGATGTCAGTGTTCAGGGAATACAAATGTCGTTAACAACCTATAATCATTGTCATCACAACGTATGGATGTAACTTTGTTTGGTCAGATAAGATTTGTAACAGAAAGGCAGTTGCATCCAAAAATGTCTACTCATAATGATATTCTCCATATTATTATCATTATATTGACTGCTTGTCTTCTTAATAAAACACTGTGATCCAGTGGGCCACCTCCATTCCCCTCGATTATCTGTCATAACTTCCATCTGGATCCATGACCCTTCAAAAACTTTCATTTCCAAATTATATGATCCCATCTATGTTGCCCTTAGGAATCTAGTCCATGACTTCCTAGTTGGATTTCATTCGATGGCCTTCTTGGCGTGTTGTATCACTTAAATGGTTCCTCGGATAATTTCCAATCCACCTGATTGTGCTTCTGCATATTTCTTAGTTGAGTAAAAGGTTCTTGCCTTGTTCATTATATGTCAAAGATCTTTGTTGTTTGCTTATGCTCTCTGACCAGCCATTTATTCTTCAATATCAAACAAAAGCAGCTGTTCATGAAAGTCTGATGTAGCCTTTTGGAAATGTTTTTGTTAACGTGCTCACCAAGACTGTGCACTTTATGGAATCATAAACTTGACAGTAACGTTGAAAATTCGGATCTTCTTTCTCCTACTGATTGTAGTATATTTCCACATCAATTTTAGAGAAATAAGCACTTGTCTCGATTGCGCAATTCAGTGCTAACTGGCTTTAACATTGCCATTTGTACTGTCTGTATTTGGGGGAGGGTGGCGTATGCTGCCCGGATAAGTGAAGGAGACGGCTTCCCTTAAACTTCCTACTTTGGTGGTCATTGGTGCTTGTTGATTTTGTTTAGGTATCTTGATCACCTTCATCTACTACATGTATATATATATACATATATATATAATCCATAAACAAAGGAAGGATAACAAGCAGATTTATTCTGATGTAGGCCAGCATTTGTGATGTTTATTTGACTTCTTTATTCCATAAATCTAGACACTTATGTCAACTTGAATTATTTCATGGTGGATTTCGTCAAGAGCCACCATCGCTAAGAGGAACACAGAAAACTAAGTTGCACTGGGCATCTATTTTGCTCTTGAACAATGCATCAGCATATTTTGTTGCCAGAACTGACCTGAGATTTATCAATGTAGGTCCCGTAAAAATCGCCCAGGCATTGCGTGCGATTTAATGTATCTTTAAATCTCTTCGCTGCGATTGACTGTTGTAGCATTCTACCATTCGCACCGTATACTGTACCTTTATATAAAGCAAAAGTAAACTATGTCCATTCAGTGTACTAGGAAATGTTTTTATTATAAGAAAAATATAAAACATTTATTTCTGAGGTAACGATTATGTATAGGAAGTAAATACTACCATTTCTTCAGAAAACTCCGCATTGTCAACACATTAAAAGGATTTCAGAGTGAAACAAAAGTTGGTTCAGTTAAAAGCGTGTGTAACATAGACCATTGGCAGAAATGAGTGCAAAGAAATAGATCGGTTTTAGTTACTAGTTTGTAAAATGTTTGCAGATAAACCAGGGGCTCATACCAATAAACAAATACTTTTAACACCGAATACTGTGATGCTGAATAAATTTTGAAAGTTTCAGGATTTCATCATCAGCTGACATTGGTTAAAGAACCATTGCAAAATCTGGGAGTACTGGACCAGTGGACTACAGCAGATTGAGCTTGAGGAAAAATACTCGCCAATGACACTGGCTAGTAGTCGCGCTATGTCGTGAATTGTCTGAAATTGGAATTTATGAGCCACTGGATCGGGTCCCAGTGGCTTATTGGTCTATGAGCTCTCTGGCCTTGTAACAGGGAGGTTCTGGGTACTAATGAGTACTAGTGAAGAGTCCCGAAATAGGATGAAACAGTTTTCCAGTACGCTCAGGTTTTCCAGTGTTTCTCTAACCAATGTCAGCTCATGGTAGAATCTTGAAACCACTCAAATTCCTCCAAACCAACACTTGAAATTGTTAAAGGTTTTTCTGAAAGAATAGATAGTTCAGGCTGATATTTGAGCGTGTAATTAGTTCTACCATCAGTAATTGCAGACTGTTACCAAAGGATGAAAACGCTGCTTTATTATACTTTACATTGCGCATTAAAATGCTAGCCCATTTAATTCTCTTGTAAGACTTTGTTTTTTGATCACCTTTATAATAAGCAATAACGGCCTTGTATTTAGTGTCTAATTCTCTGTTTGTTTTAAATCACAATTGATTTTAAATGCTCTCAAAATCTGTAAAATAACTTATTCATATTATTTGGTTGGGAGCAATCGGCAGGAAGCCTCGGGACCCGGTTTCGTTGCTTGTTAGCACTCGTCAGCAAGTCGTACCCCAAACCTCAATTCATACAATCAAACATGTGGCATTTCGAGGCTTAATATCATTTCAAAGAATCACAGTCATAAAACGCATCAATAATTTAAGAAATGACATTAATGTGCACAAATTCCAATACATAACTTATGTGTAAGCACAATCTTATGAATTTTTTCTAGCAATACCAACGATCACTACTAACTTATCATATATTATATACATATATGAATGCCTTGAAAAGTCTTCATAGAAACAGTTGGGACACACAGGTTGTCAAATAATGAATATTCTTTTTGATAGTTTCCAATAATTGAACAGGAATATAAGGTGTTAAACGGCACTAACTATGGTTCCATCTTATACTTGTACCACAATACACTTTAATTCTAGTTTGCCTTTGTTGGCTGTTATTATTATTGTTATTCCCTTGGGTTCGGAGTGGAAAACACGGCTTCAACAGCATATATTCATTTCATCCTGTCCTCTGAAGTCCTCTTTAGGTGGCTCCATAATCTTCTATAAGTTCTCATCTCTTCCTCAGAAGATTTCTCTAATGTCACCCTCAGACCCACGCGCAACTCATCCTTTCCCTTTCAGGTTCCACTCAACAATTCATCTGATATCTGATGTTAACCATAGGTCTCCTCAGTGTGTGTCAGACCCATCTCTATTTTCTTCGACATATTTTTGAGCAATCAGTTCTTGATTAGTTCATTCTAAGAGTTTCTTGTTACTGATTCTTTCTGGGCATTTAACCTTCAGTGTGGGGCGAAGGCCGTTGTTGATAAAAGCTTGCTACCTGTTCGACGTGCTTTTCGTGATGCGCGAAATTTTGCTGCATTAGTAAATATAAATACAATGAAATACAAAAAAGTCAATTATATCGAAATAACTTACTTGCAATACCTACAGCGCGTGCGAATTCATGACCAATTATTGAACCCAGCCCTCCATATTTGGTTGGAGTGTCGTCTTTTCCATTATAAAATGGTGGACGTATTAGTCCAGCATGAACGATTATGCGATTTCCAAGCACATTGTAAGTAGCTGATGCAGAGAAAGTTGGTGTTACTGAACTAAAGCTGTTTATACAACGTGAATGAAAAAATGTGTCAAATAATATCGCATTGTTAACATCTAATCTATAAGGTTAGCTCAACATTCAACAGAGATATTCCCCCAAATCACGTATTTCAGTTGAGAAACTATGTAAATCTTAGACAGAGGAAACACTAAGAATGCTGAAAATTTCTAGAACCCTGGTACACAGGCCACGCTGCGATCAGCGTACACGCTGCTACAGATCAAGTTCATGTATCAGTGAAAAAAGTGTCACACATTCTAAAGACTGAGTATCAAGTTATTAAACTGGACAAAAATTATATAAGTTGACATAGTGACAGGAAAAAACGTCGAAAATCAAACAATGACATTTCAGCAAAAATGGATACTATCTGCATGCTATACTACTACTATTACTGCAGTAGTGCTTCTTAACCAGATCGGAATGACCTAAACATGGGATGGCTGAGATCACCAATGGTTAAGCTGATTTGACTCAGCTTAGAGAGCCGAATAAGTTCAAAACACCAGATTTCGGGGTAACTACTTAGGCGAAGTGGTGACAGTTTATTCAGATTAGCAATTTTCCGATTTGTACAGTTGGAGGAGGTGAAATTTTACTACAGTTCCCTTTGGATACCAGAATTATTCACAACGTAGTACATCATCTGCTTGACAACAAAATAATCATCCAGAAAACAAACATATATGATCTTGAGATCAACAGAACTGATAGTTGCTCCGCTCACAAGGAATTCCAAATGACCATATGAATGGCGATAAATATTCTATTATCAAGGAATTCATATGAAAGAGCCTAACAACACTAGCAACTTCCCCATGAGCCTCATATTTTAACCATTATTTGTAGGAAGTTGAGAGGCATCATAATACGATTCCTTTTAACAATGATAATCACCTATTTACTTTCTAGTTTCATTTTCACAGAAAATATTTCAATGGAAGATATCTATCAGCTAGATTAAGGCGGTGATAGTGCTGGAAGTGAGTTTTAGCTGCATAATTTTAATTATCCCGCCTTCGTAGTATTCTGTATTGAAGTCTCTATAGCGACCATGTTGATTTCCCTGAGTGAGATCGCCAGCCACATTTCCGGCCTTTCCTTCTTTCTCGAGCTTAGGACCGGCTAAGAAACAAGTATTCTGAAGTAAATGTTCATTTTGTTGAAATTGTTTACTGTGACATGTTTACAGTTTTTACCGGTTGCTTTTGGTCTCTATTAAGGTCTAGGCTATCTGAAATAAGCTAACACCTTCAGGTTAGAATTCATTTTCATTCTTACTTTCTACTAATGACAAATAACATTTATGTTTTTTGAAATTTATATAGTGCAAAATTACTATCCCTGTTTTTAGTACTAGTTATAAATTGCTATTTGGATAGTTATTTGTTGTATTTGCCAATCGATTACATGATAATATTTTTACTCATGACTGTATTAGACTATGAAGTAGTTTTACGTGGAACTGTTATAACTCAATATGTTCAATACATGTTAGTTAATACTCCTGGACTTTCATGATTTCCTTAAATTGAATTGGCAGTTTGCAAATTAATTAAGTAATTTGCAATTTACACAGTTCTAAGGATTTTAAATACAAACGTCAAGTCACTTTTGCTATACGGATCAGAAACTTAGCGGCGGGTCACAAAAAATATTTCCAACAGCCTGTTGCAGACCTTTATCAACAACTATCTTCGCTCTGCACTGAAGATCAGATGGCCGGAAAGAATCACTAACAAGAAACTATGGGGATGAACGAAACAAGAACCAATCGCCCAACAAATATGCAGGAGAAAGTGGAGATGGATTGGACACTCGCTGAGGAGGCCACTTGGTGACATCGCGCGTCAGGCCATAGCTTGAGTGGAACCCGAAAGGGAAGTGACGAGTGGGACGTCCAAGAGTGACATGGAGGAGATCGTGTGAAGAGGAGTTGAAACAGTATGGACTAACATGGATGCAAGTGAAAAGTACAGCAGAAGACAGAAGCAGGTGGAGGCGTGCAGTTGAAGCCCTATGTTCCACTAGGAACCCAAGGGAACAATAATATAATAATAATAATAAGGAGGTGGAATTTCACCAGATTTTACTTTAAAGACAAAGATTATTCAGATCACAAAATGTGATTAGTTTGGTTGCATAAACGGTAGTCAAGAAAGCTAAGCATAAACGCGTAATAGTGGTAATACTGGTGGTATGTGTATTGTGTGTATAAATCGCAAATCACGCATTTTATTTAACGTGTTACGAGTTTGCCTACGAAGTCAGAGAAAGAGAGAGAAAAAGTAATTGGGTAGTTTGAAGTGATTCGGCTCCCTAAGCTAAGTCACTGTGCGTCGATGGCACAGTGGTTAGGACTCTCGCCGACCATGCACATGGTCAGGGGTTCGATCCTCTGCCGGCGCACACCCGATATCTATGATAGGCCTGAATTTGGGCTAACCGATATCCATGCTGAAAACTCCATACTTGTACTGAAAATACGGTGTGGAATCAAGCTGTAAATCAAAAAAGAAAAAAAAACAGGTAAACTGTTGATGGCCTTGACTCAAAACAAGTGAAACGACTGTTCGATGTTTTCCCTTCGATCTAGCTGTTAAGCACTAACTGGCTTGTGTGAATGGTATGCAACTACTGATCTCAGTTAGTCAGTAGTATATACTTTTATGGCTTTCATGATTTTCAGTTGTTTCTGTTAACATTGTTTGTAAGCTTTTTTATTTACATTCCTAGATTGACAGTCATCTGAATGTGATTTCCTATTGATTTTATGGCATCGTTATGTCTAAAGTAGTATCTCATAATAATATGCATAAATAAACTGAGAAACAATAGCTTACTGCGTATCATCTGAGGGCAGAGTTATTTTAAGTTTATCAAAATATTGAGACTTTTGAGCATAGTACTCATTGAGTATAGGATTGTTCTCATCCATTGCATACTTAAAAACGAAACAAAAAAGAGAGATAGAAAAGTTAACCTGCAGATGGGAAAAAAGTGCTCAAAATGTGTGCAAACTTTGTTGTTTTCAAATTATATATATATCAAGTCAAGAGGAAGTTTACAGTGTGCAGTCAAAATTCTAAGTTACTTTTATATTCTACTACAATTCTTGAATTTTATTTAAATTTCTCAGCGCCAACCACTTGACAAGAATTGAAATCATAACACTGCTGTTTGAGAATCTTTTCTATTTTATAGTAGCACATCTAATAGACTAGCTTACACTGTAAGTTAATTGGTGGATGGTGACTAGCAGTGGAATCCAGGATGCGCAGTCCATCCTATTTAGGACTCATCAGCTGAATGTACCTGCATTCCGCAGTGAGTGATGGTGTTTCCACCGAGGGTCAATCCCTGTGCCTATAGTTTCAAACACCAAAGTGTTATCCGCCAGACCACTTGGGCCACGAGGACCACCTCTTTTGTAATGTGTCATATAAGTCATTTAATTCAATTTTAGATTTTCCCATCCACCAATTACCTTCTAGTTACATGACCAGACATAGTCGAAGCATCTGCACAAGAAACCGAAATGTCAACCTGAGATCGAGCACTTTGGTCCAATCAGTCGACGGGAAAATCTAAAATTGAATTAAATAGCTTACACTATCGTTAAGTATTTAAATTCAGCAAAGTTATTCTGTCTGTCTACACTATGCTGTTTAAAATATTTACCGATGGGAATTACTCGGAAGGCTGCTTTCTTAGTATTTATAATGCACTGTTTTATTGGTGAGTCTTTTAATTAGTCATAATGTTCGTTTCGAAAGGCAATTATATTTTATTTGAATGATAAATGTTAATGAAAGGAGAAAAGGATTCATGAAGAGGTTTGAATTTAGCCAATCAACTAGCTATCTTAATTGTTATAAACAGTAAGTAAACAAAAATCGTTTGCGTCTCAACAGGTCACACTCTGAATCATTTGCAGGTGCATCAAAACTACCAATCAGGAAATGTCTTGTCCAAAACTATGTATGGCAGAGAATGTTCTTTATGACTTTCCGATTATTCTTCACTCAGCTCCGTGTTTCACTTCTTCTTCTTCTTCTCCTTCACTTGTAACCCTCAGTCAGACCGTATGAATCAATTATAAGTCATTACTCCGGTTTGGAAGCTTAAAGTCAGTCGGTAGTCAGTCACACATGCACTATGTTTACCTCAAGTAAAAGTTTATTGTCAGAATGAAATCATATGAAGCTGATGAGTTTAAAGAATCAAATTATTGGCAAACAATATTGTGTAATTCCATAAGAGACAGGCTGCTGAATTCAAAGATGTACACTACGTAAATTATCCTTGGAAATATTATACTCTATGAGAGTTGATCTATCCATTGTAAGATGAATATAAATTATTGCACTGGTATTCCATCAACTGAAAACAAAACTGACTCATAGGATCTAAACACGCTTATATCACACTTAAAATTATCATCTTAGTGTTCACACCTATATTTAAGGTAACGAAAATCTAATCGAAAACGCCTAGCCATACAATAAACTTTCATGATGAAAACAATAAATATTTTCTTCGGTGGTCACAAAAAATGCACTATCATATGTACATGTTTGTTTAGACAAAAGGAATACATGATAAAACAGAATTAACAATCACTGAAATGATTACAACTTTGTACTCATCCGTTTATCTTTGAAGTTTTACAAAAATTTCAAATCAAAGTAATTGTCTTTAAGAGTTTAACCATGGATGGATATTGGTTAGAAAGCCATTGAAAACCAGGCAGTACTGGACAGTCAGCTGTTTCATCCTGGTTTGGGGATCATCGGCAGTACGCACCCATCGCCAGGGTTCGAACCCAGGACCACTGCATCGGGTTCCAGTGGCTGGATGGTATACCAGCTTGCCTTGGTTCGAACCCTGGAGGTGGATGCGTACTACCGATGATTCCCAAACTAGGATAAAACAGATGGCTGTTCAGTACTTCCTGGTTTTCAATGGTTCTCTAACTGATGTCACTCTGTAGTCAAACTCGCAAAAATAAAGCAATTGTACCAAAAGGCCTATCATCAACGCCTATTCTCAGTATTAATGAGTCTTTGGGGTTGAACACCTGTTTCTCATGTTGTAGAACGACTGTTCTATAATGATTTCACATGTTGGGTAGTATTAATAAGTTCCTGTGGTTTTGTTACATATTTATCTAGAACAAACAGTTAGTTTCATAAGCAACAAATTTCAGATTAACCGGGATAGACGAGTATGTTAGAAAGATTTATTATTATTTAAGGTTTTGAATGCAATTTCATAAAATCGAACCTTTTCTATTAAAAACTAACTTACCTGATGTATTGTAGAAATATCCTCTTTTTTCCCAGATAGGGCGAGTGCTGATGTGTGTGAAATCTATAAAGTACATTATCAAGATATTACAAACAAAAAGAAATAAACAAACCTTATCCTTGGCATTGGCTTTTGCCCCATTATCCAACCACTGGCCTCTTGAAGTTAAATCAGACAGTGTATACCTTATTTCATTGATTAAATTTAATACCTAGTGTAAAATTGAAAACAGAAAAAGAACATTAACTGAAATGATTAGATTTAGTGTTCAGTAAAAACCTTTGAATATTTCGTAGGTATTCTATACTAAGAGGGGTTGTATTTGGATTAATTTAATATCAACATTCAGATTTCGTCACAAACTAACACCAGTCAGAGAGAAAGTTGAAAGCCAGGAAGCAATGGACATCTGTTTCATCCTAGTTAGTTTCAGACGCATCAGTAGTGCACAACCATGACTCCACCAGCCATCGAAACCACGGCCTTCAGGTGACGAGACCAATTTCACTGACCGTTCAGTCACTTCAGTCACTGGAATCCAGTGATCTATATATTTTGACTATATTAATTGGTGATATGGTGTTACCGTCAATCAATGCCTTCGATGAGCATCCACGTCACCTTGAGAAGGCAACGTGGAGGTCTCGAGTCTGTTTGGTGTTGATATCGTGGTTCCACACCCTTGAAGAGTTCAAATTAGGACGAAACGAATGGGTTAGTATTCAGTCACCTCTGACAAATGAAATTAAACTAAGCCAAATCTCCACAAATCCCATGATCAAAGTTGTAGAAATGACAAAGTCGTATTCATTCTACATCAGAATTCATTGGACGAATCAATATTAATTTTTAAGTATTGGTTTTGTAGGGATTTTGTTTGATTGCGCTATGTTGTGAAATGGCAGAAGTTGGAATTCAAGGACCATTGGATCGGGTCCCAGTGGCTCAATGGTCTCCGAGCTCGCCTTGTAACCAGAAGGTCCTGGGTTCGAATCCCGGTGGGTGCGTACTGATGAAGAATCCCAAACTAGGACAAAACAGCTGTCCAGTACTCTCAGGTTTTCCAATGGTTCTCTAACTGATGTCAGCTCATGATGAAATCCTCCATGCAATGAATCAATATTAATTCACAGATTAAGACTCACATTCCGAAACTTATCCATATCATCAATTAAGAGTCAGTGAGAACTATTAGAATTTTTTTCAATAAATTCTCTTTTTAATTTATTACAAATATTTTGACGTAATTTCACATATTGATTATCCCGTAATTATGAATTGCAGTCCTGTTAGCTTCAGTTTAATACCTGATAATCTTTATACTTACTAACCAACAAACAAATGGTGTAACCTTGAATTAAACTCGTTAATTATTCTTATTTTAGTCTATCATTATCTATTTCATGATGGCTCTGTAATTAGATTCAGTGCATCACATTCTACGTACACATAAATGATATCTTGTTAGTTATGCGTTAACCACATAGTTTGGTATCAAGGTTGTTATTGTTGTGACAAAAAATTTCATAACTATTTAAATGTGAAGACGCCTTATTGAAAACAACATTCTTAGAATATTTGGAAATTTTTCACTTGCCAGAATCTTAATGAATGATAACAGTGCTACTATTACAGATATTATAACTCATTCTTTGGGTCCTGGACGGAATATGTGTCTTCAGAAGCACATCAACATTTCACTTTGCTCTCTGACATTATTTTCATTTGGCTCCAAGTTTACCCACAGTGTTCCATCTCGTCTTCACATGGTCTCCTCCAGTTACCTTCAGAAACCTAACGTGAGACTTTCCGTTCAGGTTCCATTCGTTGACATGCTTGGTTTGTGATGACCTTTCAAGGTCTCCTCAGAGTATTTCCAATCCATCTTCATCTCCTCCTCCTCGTATTTGTTGGGCGATAAGTTTTTGGCCTTTTTTCTCCCTGCCAGGGTTCTTTCTCGTTTGCTTATTCTTTCTAGCTGGCCATCTGATCTTCAGTGTCAAGAGCAAGTAGCTATTGATGTAAGCCTGCGGAAGGCTGTTGAAAACGCTTTTTGTTGACATGCATGTCAAGTTTTTCAAGCACATAGAATCACTGAGTAGACATTAGGGTTATTTTCTGTGCGGTGGGCTTTAGATCTCACACTAATTTCAAAATGGTGAACGCCTATAATGCTTTCCCGATCACATCTGTGCAGCATGTAATTGAATCGATTCTGTCCATATTGATGGATATTAAGTGATAACTTAGTTATAATTGTTAAAGCTGATCTACAAGAATCCCAAAGAAATAAATTTACAGTAGGCAGGTGGAAAAGGTTTACCATACAGTATTCTCTTGTCCTTTTCCATGATCATGTCATCATGATAAGACACTAATCTAAATGCCTTGGATTAAGAATTTCAAATGGAATTTGAATGGCAACCACCCATCTTATTACCTTGAGATTCATGTTAGGTTATCTCAGAAAATGAATGAAAAATGTTCATATTTGTAAGGGGTAGTCACCTGACACGGTTTCGCTACTTTTTCACCTGTTTCGTCCTAGTTTGAGACTCTTCACTGTACGCACCCACCGGGATTCGAACACAGGACCTTCTGGTTACAAGGCGAGCTTGTATACCATTAAGCCACTGGGACCCGATCCGATGGCCCATGAATTCTGACTTCTGCCAATTCACGACATAGCGCGACCCCTAGCCAATGGGTTCGAATCCCGGTGGGTGCGTACTGATGAAGAGTCCCAGAATAGGACGAAACAGCTGTCCAGTACTCCCAGGTTTTCCAATGGTTCTCTAACTAATCTCAGCTCATGATGAAAATCCTGTAACCAATCAAATCCCTACAACCCAACACTTGAACTTTCGGAATATTTTGAGTCACGAAACTAAATTTACAATAATCTGCATATTCTCCTTTAAATATTTCTCTTGTGATTGTAAAATTACTTATTATCTGATATACTAAGATGAAACTTATGGTTTACAGTCCAAAACTTTGCAAGAACATCAGATGATGATGTGTGAAGAATTCGTTACATTTCTCCGGGGCACCACTTCAATGTTACTAAGTAAACTGTGATTGTTCTGATATGTACATTATCAGGATCATAGGACTGTAAATGTTGAATAACAAAGATCTTTATAGTTTCTAATTATATAAAAAGATTTCTATTGTTCTAGAAAATACATAATATTGTATTCTGACTTTTAAGTTGAAGAAGGAACAGGGGTCACACCTTCGATGTAAATCATTCATTTTAGAAGTTTAAAGGCAATCAGCATGGAATCTTGGACTTAGGTTTCATGGTCATTAGCACTTGTCAGCTAGCCATAATTGGAATCTTGAAGAAACTGATTTTTTATCCTGAGAAATTCGGATCCATATCACTCAGTACTTTGGTCAAATCTATGCGAACATCAGAGGGGGGTGGGAAATTAGTTACTATAAGGTTGGAGATATATCTTGCTGAGTGTGTGTCTGCAAGCTTCCCAATAAGAGTCAACCAACCCTAGACTGACAACGTAAAATGATTAACCCGAAATTATCAGTTAATGTGCTCATTTCTCTGTCATATGTGTGCACATATATATATCCTATATCTAGGAGTAAGAAATTCCTTTTGGTTTATATAAAGTAAAATCGATACGGATATCTGGATCTTATCAGTATTTTTATTTAAGTAAGCCGAACATATCTGAGCCTCATTAAAGCTATATTTTTAAACCGGATTCTGGTTTACTGGCCATCTCAAAACGGTTTTACTAAGTGATATATCACACTTTTCATTTTAAGCGCCACAGTTTTTACGTAGATATCAGTCGCTTTACAGAATTTTTAACTAGTGGTTAAACCCCTTTTTACTGAAAACCACCGATACAACAGCAGATGTGAATTCTTCTAGTCTTGTTACATAATTTTCATCCGACTGTTAAACTGGCGATTTGTTGCTATCCAAAATTATAGGGTATATTTGTTTAACAGGGTTAAGCCATATGGATAAGGTCATGGAGATATTTTACTGTGGGACAGGAGACTATTGTGAACTGTTTTGCGCTTTTAAAACTGCATTATCACAGTAGACTGCATGAAGATGTTTTCTCAATATAACTACTTGTTTTCCACACTATGTTTTCATCAGTTAATTAATTAAATCAAGCAAAGTAGAATTCAATTTATGTCTAAACTGACTGACTACAAAAACTTGAACTAACATCGATTTTATGACTTTCATTTATATGATCCGATAGGAAACTTTTCTCAAGTGTCCATGGAAATATTTGTCTTAAACGGTCGATGCAATGCGTTGAAAAGGTTGTATCAGATTCTTCTAAACACAGAAGAAAATAAAGAAAATGTATTCATAATTCTTTTTAATTACTAATAATCTGTATAATAATCTATTGAAAAATACTTTATGCAAAAAAGTAGACGTGAAATCCTCAAAAATGTGGGAATCGAGGAATAAATCAACACATTCGTTTTAGTTATCAAAAGTATGTGTTTTATCCTTCCCAATGAGAACAATAGTTTGAGAAAATTCCTGAAATTATCCTTAATGAGGTAATAGGAGTGGAGCATTACTATTCCTTTTCATTACTGTTTGTCTGAATCCTTGGTGGAGTCATGGGGATGTACTAGCAAAGGGTTCCATACTAGGACAAAACATTCATCCAGTACTCTATGACCTCTATGAATGACTCTCTAACTTATATCGGTCGTTGACGAGATCTACCTCGAAATATGTCTTATCTCTACAACCGCTACACAGTGAATGTTGATCTTTTTGTTGCATCGTGAATAACTCACCGTTACCAGCAAATGGTAGATTATGCATACTACAATTATACTGCGAAATGAATGTTTGTCTTAGAAACTTGTTTTTGTTTCAGTATTTGAAGATTCTCCAAAAGAACTTTTGTAAAAATACTACTTTTCACTGGAAATGAAAACTAGACATTTTCTCTGTTTATTATATGCATGAACTTGCGAATCAACAGCATTTACTGCACAGTGTTTTAGACACAAATGGATACCCAAAGTGTATGTAAATCATTAATATGAGTGTTTAGAAACCATTATCTCCGTTTTCTCTGTGTTCACTTGAGGTTCTACCTTCTCTGCCTGCCTATTCTGTATATTCTGATCGAGTGATCTGTAAAGAGACTTAGTGTTTCTAGAGTTTATTATATCCCTAGACTATTGAGAGGGGGGAGAGAGAGGCTGAAACTCTCCTGAAAGCATTCATTACCATTCATTAGCTTTCGTAAATTTACCCTGCGCACTGAGTATTCAAATTTTGTGACTAATCCCAGAGTTTGACTACACATCAGCTCAGGTAAGCTAAAAGAAAACACAAAGGTTTGTCTAGCATGTGATGCCGCACACAGGTAAGTAGGAACTGAAATAGGAGGGAAGACTTGTGGATCAATTTAAGGATGCAAAGTGTTCAGTGTTCTTTGAGTCTCATGATTTGATTGCGAAGATATCATTATCGGGCTTGTGGCTTCTTCTACACACACTACTGCACTACCAAGTTAGTGCATTTGGTGCTAAAGATATCCCTAAACTCAGAGATAAAGCATCTATGGTCAGATAAAAAAGCTCAGGTAACACAAAACAAGTTCTATAACTATGAATCTGATGAGAAGTAATAATGTCACTTTTATTATCGAGAATAATAGAAAGTGTATAGATTCAGGTAGACTTACCATTATGTAGGAGATTATTTTCCTCTGACATTTTATCTTCATACTTAGTTTGTTCCACCAAAAAGTCCAACACTAACATGTTATGAAGTTTACTTCAGAAGAAGAAGAAGATATGAATGAAGAAATTAACTTAAAGAAGTGTATGAGTAAACAAGATATCTGGTGAACAAGAAACTCAATAATTATTATGGTGTTCCTAATGGTCTGGTATTCTTAATGGTATACCTTATAGGCTAATTTATTTAGTCTAACAGTTCAGCGGACAAATAAGCCAACGGCTGTATTTGAAATTTAGCAGTTGGACTATAGAGGGGTATTAGTTCAGTTACACAGGAATAAGCTGACGTCTGAAGTTAACCTGGCCATCAAGATAATTTTAACCCTTGGGTTCTATCTACATGGCTGAACTGATTCCACGAAAATAATGCTAAAATTTAAATCAATGTTTTGAACTAATCATCTGACGATCGGTAGTTCACCTATTACTTTATCAGGATCAGCATTCCTGTTTCAGTAGTCATTCTGCTAATTTGGAATGGGTCTGTTAAAGCGTTTCATCAATGTATTTAGAAATCCTCATTTTCATCGAATGACTCCGTTCATCTTTAGTATCAAAATCTTTTGATTTCTATTCAGTTAGGTGTGGCGTAACAGGCAAGTAGATATATGACATTATTTTGAGATACAATGAAACTCACTAATCTTGAGTGTATTATTGTTTCCTTTAATTCCTAGAGGAACATAGGGCTTCAGCCGTGCGTCTCCATTGCGTTCGGTTCTCTGTTAGAGTCTTCACCTGGCTCCATGTCTGCCCACACGTTTTCATCTCCTCTTCACATGACCTCCTCCAAGTCACCCACCCTCGCACTGACGACCAACTCGCCGCTTCCCTTCTGGGTTCCACTCGAGCAATGGCTTCTCTAGTGATGTCACTTGATGGTTTCCTCAGAGTATGGCCAACCAATCCATCTCCATTTCTTCCTGCCTATTTGTTTCACAATCAGTTCCTGCTGAGTTGGTTCGCTCATTGCCAGAGATCCCTGTTGCTGATCTTTTCTGACCGGCCATCTGATCTTGAGTATTGAGAGAAGACAACTGTTAATGAAGGTCTGTAGTTTGTTCGAAGTGCCCTCCGTGACGCGGCGCCAAGTCTCTGATCCGTACAGTGAGTAGCACTGACTTCACATTGGAGTTGAAAATCCGGATCTTATCTTCGTTTTGATGCTGAGTGCTTTTGACCTCTACAGATACTTGAGAGTGGTGAAAGCTTGTCTTTCTTTTTAGATTCTTGCTTTGATATCCTCGTCAGTTCCGTTCGCCTGTAGTTGAAACGATGCTTCCCAGCTCGGTAGGTAAAAGAGGTTCCTTTCAGAGGTTGTTTCTTTCAGGTTCGTTTCATTTATGCTGACTGTTGTTGTTGCTGTTGGTGATGTTGCCCAGGAATCTTCATCACCTCTGTTTTCTTTATGTTCACCTGGAGTCCTATCTTTGATTCTTCTTCTGCTAACTTGTTGCTTTTCGCTTGCATATCTTCCAGTTTGTGGGAAATCAAACATATATCATCGGCGAAGTCCAGATCCTCCAAGTTTTTTGTGTGTATCCATTTTATGCCTGTTTCCTCACTGCCTCCGTTTTCATTCATTTCTGCGAGAGCTTCTCTACCCATGATGAGTCCCCTTTCTGTGTTGTCTGATCCCTGTTTGGCGTTCATGTCTCCCATTAGTATTTTAATGTCACCAGCTGGAGTATTGTCCATTGTTGCCTGTAGTTGTCTGTAGAATTCTTCTTTCTTTTCAAGGTCTGCGTTGTTTGTGGGTGCATAGCATTGTATAACTGACACTTTCCTTCCTTTGGAGTGTGGTGGGGTTTTTCACTTTTCACACCATTCACTTATTATTACTATATCTGTGAATAAACTTAGGAACGTTTTGATCATCTAGATTGAATTCGCACCTAACTGTGCTTGTTTTGACATTTATTATTTCCCGATAAATGTTTTAGATTTCGTCTGAATGATTTATTAAGCTGAGAGATTGTGTTAAGACTTTTATTGGTTATTAGCTAATATCAGTGGGATATCTACTGAAGAGAATCTATTCTTCTCGAATAGCGGACTATTACAGTACTATTATTATTTTTCTCCGGGGTTCCGGGTGGAAAATGCGGCTTCATCAGAATATCTCAACTTCATCCTGTTCTCTGAAGTCCTTTTTAGCTGACTCCACGACTGTCTATATGCTCTCATTTCCTCCTCACATGATCTCCTCCATATCACCCTCGAACCGATACTCAAATTGACGTTCTCTACTCATATATCGCTCGAGGAGCTGATGGGTTATGTTATTCAAATGTCTCTTTACCGCGTGTTCAATCGATCTTGATTTCTTTCAGCAGATTTGTCGAGTGCCGAGTTCTAGATTGGTTCGTTCCCAGAGTTTCTTGCAGCAGATTCATTCTAGTCAGTTATCTAGTCTTCAATGTAGAACGAAGGCAGCTGTTGATGGAAGTCTACAGCAAGCTGCTGGGGATTCTTTTGGTGACACGCCATGTTTCTGACCCGTATAAAAGAAATGACTGGGTTGAGAATGATGTTGAAAATCTGAATCCATTTTCTTAAGCACTAAATTTACTGATATCAGAGTCCTGTAAGTCTGTCTCACCTTCTTAATCCTACCTTTGGCATCCTTGTCCTTGTCGACTGACTGCAGATGGGATAACGTTGACTAGATAAGCGAAAGAAGTGAACTCGTTCAAATTTATTTCTTTGACAGTGACTGGTAAATGTTGTTTTGATAGTCAGTTATCTTCACCATCTCTGGCTTCTCTACGTTCGCCTGAATTTCTGTCTTTGAAGCTTCTTCTGTCAGCTTGTAGAACTTCGAGTTAATGTGACATTAGAGACAAGTAATAACGTGCACTACATTATCTAGATACCTATACCACCACATTTTCGCAAATTCTAAAATGAAATCTAATTCGATAATTAATGCTATTACTTCTCTGTGGGATGCACAAAATCCATGTCTTTGATCTCCAGTGGAGATAAGAGCTTCCACCGCTGATGAGTCCCAAACTACGGCGAAAAACCTGTCTAGTACTGCTTTGTTTTTCAATAGTTCTCTGACCTATATCAGTTGCTGATTTGACTTAAACCAAGTGGTGTTCTCTTTAGAAGATGCTGTACACTCAGTGACATTCAGGATTACATAGAAAAAAGAGTTGAAAAGTAAATTCAAATATACCTTCTTCCATGACTAGATTTCAGCAGTTCACCCAACATTGAACACATCTTCTCAAGAATAACATTTTCACTTATTTGTACTGTCATTTCTCTGTAACTAGGAAATCCAGTTTCACCGAAAATCTTTTCGAACAGAACATCCCAATCAATCTGTAAGAAGTGAAATGAAATGTTTTAAAGAACATTCTGCAAGAATGTTGAAACTTTAAAATTTTGATAGTAATGATCTTAAGCGCTTCATAAGAAAGTAGTACAAGGTAATTCTATCTATTTATAGTTGTGCATCGGTGACACGGAGGTGGAATACTAGCCACCCACACCCCATGTGGTCTGGGGTTCGATCCCCAACCAGCACACTCCCTTACCTTACTAAGCCAGTAGTAAGACTGGTAAAGGAGGGAAGGCTGGGCGTGAGACTAGCAAATCCACCCTGTAAAAATAAAAACCACTGCAACCAAAACTTCGAGCCTCTAGATTGAAGCCCTATGTTCCACTGGGAACGTGAAAGAATAAAAAATAGTTGAATTCAAGAGGTGTCTTCAAAACTAGTAGTACACTCATATACTCAGAACAAAAATCAAGTGTCTTTTCACTAATTTACAGTCAAACTATTCCTTATTCAAAATTCAATCACGTAATGACTTCATTTAGAGAACGATTGAAAACCAAGGTGTATTGGAGATCTGTTTCGTCCCAACAGACTAAATAGCAACTGATGGATCTTCTCAGAAGCATAAAAACGACTATATGATACGTGAAGATCTTTTTGAACACCTGAGACAAACGGGATCAATTATTCCACTTTTTATGGTCTAGTACTTCAACCAGTTCTCGATATGTCGCGTTCAGCCTATCATCCAGTCGCAAAATGGTTGCCCAAAATGTCAGAGCCTGTAAGGCGACTGTTGTATAAGTACTGTCTTCAAGATACTTTTGAATTTATTGATTTCAGAAAAACCACATTTCACTACCAGTCAGATATTTTCTGTCATCCACTGTTCAGTTGTTCTCTTTTGTTATTGATAGTCAATCACAAGTGGTATATACTTATTTAAAAAGTTTTTGGAACGATTTCGTTTGAATAAACCACTTAAGCAAAGCTACATATCTTACGTGCGAATAGCTGTTGAGCTGACAAAGACCTCAATTTAAGAGGCAATTGACGGTACAAACATCCTTCATTTCTTCCTTTCAACTCTGTGTGTTGAACTGCTTATCATAAATGACCCTCTTCAAGCTAACTAATTAAAACGTCAGAATACTTCGTTTTTTCTACATGAAACACCTTTCAGGTTGCGTCCAATCTACAGGAACAGACTAAACAGTATCCTGTATAATTTGTCATTCCTATTTTCCTTAAGTTCATCAAGAAAAATGACTGAAGACATTTAGACTTTTTATGGTTATACATCCTACTCATCTGGTGAATTTCATGGAGAACTTTATAGTCAATCATATTTGTATATTTTTCCCATCAATAATATTCTTGATTTTAGTGGACTGGTCATTCAGTAGATCATGGTGAGAGAGAAGACAGCAATATATTTGACCGAGAATAAGACTCCAGAAAATCTGGGTTTGGAGGGCCATTTATATCTAGTGTCATACAAACTCACAGGCTAGAACCAACAAGTTGGCGGAAGAGGCAGGGAAAGGAGACAGAGATTTAAGTGAATGCAGAGAGGACAGAGACGCTGGAGATTTCCGTTAACACTAACACCAAGCACTAGTCACCATCAACGGAATAATTGTGAATGAGGTCATTTGTTTTATTGATCCAGGCAGCACTGTTTCATCTACAGGTAGTAGGCACGGGTGAGAATGTCAAAGGCTGAGGAATTGGGATGTCAAGAAAAGCACTCCTAACAGGCTACAAACTCTCACTGACAGCTCTCCCTTAGCTCCATACTGAGGATCAGATGGACAAAAAGCATTTGCAGCCACGGACTGTGGGAATGAACTGACTAAGAATCTTTTACCCGACAGATATGCCGAAAGAAATTAAGATGAATAGGACACACGCTGAGGAGAACGTTGACTAACGTCGCGCACCAGGCGAATCCTTAAGTGGAACTCAAACGGTAAACAGTCAGTTAGATGTGGGTCTCAGTGTTACATGGAGGAGATTGTGTGAAAACGAGATGAGCAGTCGGCGAACCAACAAGAAAAGAACCTAAGGAGATAATAATATTACTATCACATATTGATATCTCAGGAATACTCATGAAGTTATTTTAATTGTTAATACAGAGATCGGTTATACTACTAATTTACACAACATCTAAGACCTTTAAGAATAATGCAGCCCATGCAACGGGCTGATGGGAATCTGATAATTAATTTCGTGAACAATGTTATGAGGTAATTAATTAAAAGTTGAACGGTACACATTTATCACCGAAGAACTTTAAACAAATAGCTGATGACGAGCTGCTTAATGTTTCTAGTCTCTTAACCATTTCTTAGTCAAGGAACACGCATTTTTATGCAAGCAATTCCTTTGGCAAATTTTGATGAACAAAAAAGATCAAATTTACTGCATAAAATTGGAGACAGTTTTATATCACAGGTTCTAATCATTTGCAGACTGCCAGAAATTACAATGATTATTAAAGAAGGAAAACATCATGAAACAATAAATATTGATACGATTAGAAAGAAAATGTGTAAAGGACACCGCGATTACTACGCTGTGAAGAAGTAGAGTCGCAAAGCAAAATATTTTCAACCAAACATATGAATAGTGAAAGAGAGTATGCTCAGTCACTTATAGCTTTGTTAAATGCATTGTAATTCTGTTGTGCATACAGTGTAATCATTCATACTAGTGCTTTCAGCTATCTAAGTGTGCTTCACTGCTATGAAATGCAAATTCTTTGGTCTTTACTTAGCCATAAAAGTCAATAAAAACTTTATTTTTTTGTTTTTCTATCTGTTACCTTTTTGTTCAGTCTCTGTTTATACTTCTTGAACTTTCTATTTCACAATTCATGCAGATTAATAATGACTTGAGAAGAAAATCATGATGTTTACCCTTTCCATATTGGATATTTGATTCACTAATTTATGCGACTTTCTCTGTCATTTCATAAATATGTACAATAAGTAGGTTGCTTTCTGTCTTTTATAGCTGTTGTCATTTCATCAAGTAGCCTGGAACACTTGTGAAAACTTATGAAATAAACTGATCACTTTGTATTCGCCAAATTTTAACTCTAATTTAATTATATTTGTGAAGTAATAAATTAGACAAACAATAATTCATCAAAAAGTACTTACAAGTGTGCAACGACTCTTCAGTGCTGATATTGTAATGGGATCACTAGTTTCCGATGTCTCCAAATGTAATGGAATCAATAATTCCTAAAAGAAAACAACAGTGAATTCCACCAAAAGATTAAGAACAGTATAATTCATCCCTTTGAAATGATGATATATAAGCTTGATGAAAGCTTCCATTGTTTTCATCTATTTTGAATGATATTTTGCGCCTTTAATTTTTATGAGTGAACACCCATACACAGCCTTGTCTTTAAACTCCTGGCAGACGATCTACTTGTCTGAAGTTAAAATATTTCGACAAAGCAATAAGAAGACGTAATTTGTCTATTGTGCCTTTGCTCAAAACAGCTGACATTTTGTGTGATTACATTTCCACACACAATTTGTTCATCCCGTTCCCTATATCTTATTTAAAGGATTTATTACTTCTATGTGCTAGCAATGTAAGGTTTACATTTGAAGGCAACTGTTTCCGCCAGGTTGATGGTGTTGCTATGCGAAGTCAGTTAGGGCTCCTTTTAGCAGATATCTCTATGTCGTACACTGAGAGTTTATCGGAGGATTTAATCGAAAATGTGTCACTTTATAGAAGGTATGTAGATGACATTGTAATCATAAGTGATAATGCTGGTTCTGTCACCTCAATTTTAAATCGAATGAATGAATTTTCAGAATAGCATATCACTTACATCTGTAGAAGAGGAAGATAATTGTTTATCTTTCCTAGACATATTGCTTAGTCGACGGCTTGATGGGTCAATAAAAAGATCTATTTATAGAAAACCTACCTGGACAGGAGAGTATCTTAATTACCACAGTTTCTGCCCTGTTAGGTACAAAAGAGCCTTAGTGAGTGAGGTGCCTCTTCAGTAGAATCTGATGAATATGCACTGAAGACACACTTGATGAAAAAGAAAGAAAGTTGACACAAACTCTGGTTGGTGATAACAATTATTCAGACAAGTTCCTCAGGAGATATAAAGTAGTCAGAACACCAAGACCCACTCTCCAACTTACCCCTAAGAAAGACGTGTTTATCAAGCTACACCATATGGGGCGTCATAGAAGCTTGATAAATAGACATAGATTGAAAGCTGCTGTTAAAAAAAGACTTTCTATGCAGCTAATGTCATAATAATTGAGAATGTGAAGCCAATATGTCCATCTAGGCGCTTGAAATACGCAAAAAATAATGTCACATCCCAGTGTATTTACCAATTTAAATGTACGTGTGGACACACAGACATAGGGAGAACTCAGTGGTCTCTGCAAGCAAGAGCTTCAGAAAATATTCCTAAATGCCTTCAGAAGCAATTAGAATCCCCCGAACCCATTAATGGTGAGAAGAGGAGACCTAACTCCTCTATTGCGAAATATCATATTATAGAGACAGGACATAAAATTGACGTTTACACATCTTTTAAACCTATCTTTAAAACGTGTTTTGGGCGTATCCTAAAGTTTTTGGAAGCCCTAGCTGGCAATCAGGAAAATAAAACCTCCTTTGTGCGTTCAAAGCAACAATTCATCATCACACTAAACCTTCCTTGGTAAACTTTGTTTTGATACCGGCCATGGTAGATGTTCTATTGCCTCTGTTATTTGTTTAGTGATGTTCATTGTAATTTTAACCTTCAGGATGTCATTTGAACTTAACCTAAGTCTATTTTCTCACCTCTTAACTCTATATTAATATCATATATATTCCTATGACAAATCCGTGTATGATCAAATTGTTTGAAATGTGTTGCGCAAATACATAAAATGATTCAGACAAATACTTCTTCTTATTACTTTGTCTAAATTCATAAAGGGAACTAATTGTTTTAAAATATTTCAATAAAATCTTGATTTATGTAGTATTTATAGTTTTCAGTTATAAGTGTAACTGTATGTTCTTATATTGCTAATAGTTTTCACAGTTTTCTCTACATCTAGATTGTTAGATATCAACTAGCCGAAATAGAATTTTCCTCAATCATACTTAAAGTTTAGTGGCTGAAAGTGACGTCTAGATTTCAAGGCTGACGTAGGTCAACAATTCACTTTTTAAACAATAAAATTCAAATAGATATTATACATCCCTTCGTTATCATATTCATATCAGATGGGGTTCTTAGCAGTCAGGTACAGTTGCATTTCTCACCAACATTTTTATTTGCAAATCGTTAATAATGCATCAATGAGTCAGAAATCGTAAGGAGGTGAAAATAGCATATTTTGAGTATTTTTTCATCTTATGAAAAGATATAAATAAATTACACCATAATATCTAATTCAACTAATTATATAACTGATCAATATTCTACAATGCAAATCGATATATTTCCTATTACAGAAGATTTAAAAATATAAATATTTTAAGAAAAATAATTCAGTTTAATAAAAACTTACTTTTACAAATTCAAGAGTTGTTGAGAAAGCATCATTTATCTTTTCCTTTTGAGTTTTAGATACACCGAGGTCATACGCAGTTTTCTCCAAATGGCTTAAGGCCTCCTGCCTATTTTCCTGTTTTAAAAAAAAATCCCAAGAATATGTAAGCATCTCCTTACTACTAAAAATAAAATCATTCACAGAAAAGCAGTTGAATATTGGATATGTAGAAATCATTAATGTCAACGTTTTCACAAGCTGGATATTTTAAAACGAATTATTTTAAAACAGAATATAAGGAATATTGTTTAATCAAAAGTGTTCTTAATTCTTTTTGAAAATAGTTTAATAGTGAGATGGAAGTTTTCATGCTAATTAAAGAGGTTTATTTGATACAAAACATAGTTAAAGAGTATCAACGATTGATTAACGTCTTTAGCACAATTTATTGTTCATAATTATGCCAATGTGTTCAGAAGACTTCATAACTTATTCTCTATAGGATTGATCCTTGCTGCCTTTTACTGTAGTTTTCTACATATTCGTAGTAGGTGTTCTATCATGTCGATCGCACGCGTCCAGTGTTCATTTGATGAACGCAAATTCAGTGATGAATCTTTCTCTCCATCTAATAATATTTCTACACCGCCCCATCTCATCATGTGGGCACAGTCATTACAGAGCATATATATATATATGATTTAAGTAATCTCGATTATACCGTAGTTTATTCAGAGCAAGAATAATAAAGGCCAATAACTGATTCCATTAAGATGTTTGTAAGCTCTACAGCTTTCAATTCATTAGATTTAGCATAGAATAGCTAGTAGAGGCAAACACTTCAAGAAGGACTAGACTGTTTCTTCTACCGCAAGCAGAATCGGTAACGCTTCATTTGAGAAAAGCTGGTCTCTGCATCCTGAGGAAATATGTTCAGCTGCTTTAGACAAATTAGTAAGCTCAAATAACCATCTATAAAATTTGGTATTGAAAACTTCTAATCCACAACACATTCTCTTCCTTACTGCCTTTACCTCATTTTTGATGTTGTGCGATTTACTCTTTACATTTTCAAATGTACTCAGATACATAAATCAACTAAGAAATCTCTTTGCTGAAATTCTTTTCAAAGCTCTACAAACATTTACGGATAATAATTCTACTATGTTAACTGACAACACACGTCCAACGCTGTTGTCAACTACCAACAAAAATATACACATCAAAGTGTATCAGTAACAACAATGCTTCAAAAACCCCATGTATAATACTACATAATCTCCAGGGATGGCAATTAACTAGTTGAGTGATGAATAATCACTTGAACATGTAGGTGACATCATCTTGGACAACTTCATAGAACCAGACATACATCCACAAATACATATATGAATGTGAATGAAGTCGATGGTGACGCTGAGCGACCAGAAGTAATCATGTAATCCACAATACACTTGTACACTGTTCCACCACCACCTTTACACAAACACACACATGAGTGTCCATACGCGAGTATAGACAATGTCATGCTGACATTGTCGATGAATTTGGCTCCACAGGATTGAGTGAATTGGTGAATGCACATTGAAGTTTCCAACAATTCGATCGTATCATTCACGTTGGGGTGAACGAGATGATGTGTGGAGAAAGTGTGTTGTAGAAATGCAGGAGAGAAGGTTCTTCCAATTTCTGTCGACAGGTGGTTTCGGAGAACTTCTCTAGTTGTATCTCTCTTGAATTTCAGATTCACAATTAGTTGTGTGCTGAACGCAGTACACGCAGATTTTGTGTGTATGGAGTGATGGTGTTTTCTTCTAGATGTTTGTGGATGGAGGAGGTTAGATATCCATTTTTGATTAGAGGAATTCAAACTAGCGATAAGCTCTGACCTCTATCATAAATTAATACTGTATAAATAAACAGCTAAAGAATTGTTCAGATTTGTAGTGAAGTTCGGAAAAGAGATTCCTTTTCTGACTTAAGTGGTCTTAACTACACAAAGATGCTGTTTCTTTTCACCATATTAAATTCTTCGCTACTTCATAATCGCTTATTAACAGTACTTCTGCTCTTTAATCACAGTATTATGATGACTGTTACTTACATCCAGCGCATTCCGTCTATTGTTTATTTACTTCTATGTAGTTTGTCATATTTGCCCTAACAACACTCAATGACTGCATGCAAATCACCCGCTGGAAGCCATGCACTTTTGTTGATAAATGTTGTCTAATGCTTTTATTGGTCGTACATTTAATATACATGTAAACAGTAATCGAAACTCTCTGTTTGTCATCTCGTATATGTACTGTAATAGAGTTTATGATGCAAATTCAATTTGCCTTTACTGGTTATTGTGTGCGAACACTAAAAAATATATGACTGTAGGGTTTGAAGAATCTGCTGCTATTCTGAATTGGCAGAAGTTTGAATTCATGGACCATTGGATCGGGTCCCAGTGGCTCAACGGTATACGAACTCGCCTTGTAACCAGAAGGTCCTGGATTCGAATCCCGGTGGGTGCGTACTACTGAAGAGTCCCAAACTAGGACGAAACAGCTGTCCAGTACTCCCAGGTTTTCCAATGGTTCTCTGACTAATGCCAGCTCATGATGAAAATCCTGTAACCAATCAGATCCCTACAACCAACACTTGAATAAATATATATATATATATCCACTGATCTCAAACAGATCTCTTCCATATGATTATTCCAGATTTTGGCTGTAAAACAGACCACTTTCTCATTCCCATCCTATTTGAGAAAACATGAACTTTTGAGGTGTTCTCAAGAATACAAAACCCTGAATAAATACAAGAAAATTACGATTTTGCGAAAGATGATTATCACATCTGAGTTTGCATCTGCATCAGTATTCATAGGCATTAACTTTTTGAAACATTTAAAACAATACATCTAATATTTACTCGAAATTTAGATGAAAAATCTAAGTAAAATTACCTTTGATGCATAAATAAATGTATCGAACGCAAAGTGACCCTTCAGTATCTGATAAAAATGGAGAATTAAATTTTTTTCATGGTGGTTAATGTATGGCTTAAATTAAAGCAAATCAATACAGACTGCGGTTTAAATAATACATTAAATGGGGAACTAGTTGTTGCAACTAATAGTAAATAAGATCTGGATTTCACACGTGATATATGTCTAGCGTCATACAAACTCGAAGACTTGCATGCGAAAACCAAGAAAATAGTGGCAGTGAAGGTAGGACTCCAAGTGACCATAGAGAAGACGGAGGTGATGAAGATAATCAACTAACCAACCAACAATAACAATAACAAAAACCACCACCAATCACCATCAACAGGGGAGATTTAACAGAGGTTACTTCCTTCACTTATTCGACCACGAAGCACACGGCACAGATGAACATATCAAAGCCAACCAGCCAACCAGCCAGAATCGGAAGGGCAGTCTGAAATCAGTTTGGAAATCTTCTGCAAATACTCAACATAAACAACAAGACTCGGATTTTCAACACAAATGTGAAGTCAGTCAGTGAATTCTTCTCTGTGGGTGAGAAACTTGCACTGCGTGTCACGAAAAGCATTCTCAAATAGGCTTCTGCAGGACTGCTCAACAAATATATAGCAGGAAATGGAGATGGATAGGTCTGACACTGAGGAGATCGTCGAATAACATGGCGCTCAATGGAGGCCATCGCTAGAGTGAAAGGTGAACGGGAAATGACCAGTGGGTCGTCGATGCGAGGGTGACATGGAGGAGATGAGAGATTATGAGGAACAGTGGGTATAGCTGAAGATGGTCAGAAGAGAATGGAATGAAGTGGTGTATTGTTGCAGCCCTATATTCCACTTGGAACCCAAAGGAACAATAACTGAGTGAAAAAATACAATAATATTTCCTTCAAAGAAATTATGGATGTTATCAACAAACGCTGGAATTTTCATCTACTCATGGAAATATCACAATTTCACATATATACCGAAAAATACACAATTTTAGTTTGACATTTGCTTAATGAATTTCCTATGGATATTGTTTTGCCTTTGATTTTGTTACTATGGTCATTGTGTATCAGAGAAACGTAAAACAAAGTGGAACCTATCAGATAACAGTTTTACGAAATGTTTCCATGACAGATTTTGTCACTTTTAATTATCCTTAAATTTCTTTAATCTACGTTTAAATTCAGGTTAGTACAGTTTTTTTAAGTAAACGTTAATACGGTGCCTGGAGGAAAAAATGACTGAATAAAAACTCGTCATTGTGCAAAAGTGTATATACTATTATTATTATTTCCTTTAGTTCCTAGAGGAACATAGGGCTTCTGCCATGCGTCTCCATTGCGTTCGGTTCACTGCTAGAGTCTTCACCTGGCTCCAAGTCTACCCACACGTTTTCATCTCCTCTTCACATGATCTCCTCCAAGTCACCCACCCTCGCACTGACGACCAACTCGCCGCTTCCAATACAGTCGGGTTCCACTCGAGCAATGGCTTGTCTAGTGATGTCACTTGATAGATTGTTTCCTCAGAGTATGGCTAATCCATCTCCATTTCTTCCTGCCTATTTTTTTCACAATCGGTTCTTGCTGAGTTGGTTCGTTCATTGCCAGAGATCTCTGTCGCTAATCTTTTCTGGCCGGCCATCTGATCTTGAGTATTGAGCGAAGACAACTGTTAATGAAGGTCTGTATTTTGTTTGAGATGCTCTTTATGACGCTCAGTGCAAGTCTCTGATCCGTATAATAAGTAGCACTGACTTCACAATGGAGTTGAAAATCCCGATCTTATTTTTGACGCTGAATGCTGTTGACCTCCACACAGACTTGAGAGTAGTGAAAGCTTGCCTTGTTTTCCCGATCCTTGCTTTGATATCCTCGTCAGTTCCGCTGGCCTGTAGTTGAAACGATGCTTCCCAAGTAGGAAGGTGAAGGAGGTTGTTTCTTTCAGGTTCCTTCCATTTCTGCTGATTGCTGTCTGTTGTTGTTGCTGTGGCTGTTGGTGTTGCCCAGGAATTTTCATCACCTCCGTTTTCTCTATGTTCACCTGAAGTCCTATCTTTGATGCTTCTTCTGCCAACTTGTTGCTTTTCGCTTGCATATCTTCCAGTTTGTGGGAAATCAGACATATATCATCGGCGAAGACCAGATCCTCCAAGTTCTTTGTGTGGGTCCATTTTATGCCTGTTTCCTCATTGCCCGCTGTGTGTCTGTCGCATTATCCAGTCTACTGCAATCAGGAAAATCATTGGCGATAGTAGGCAGCCTTGTCTTACTCCTGTCTTCACTTCGAAGGATTCCGTGAGCTTCCCGTTGTGGATTACTTGGCATGCAGCATTGTCATACAGCTGTTGGATGAGATGTATAATTGTCGGCGGCACCCCGTTATCTGGTATATACTCAACAATGGATATTCTTCAGGTATATCTAGTAAAAGAACAAACAAATTTCCTTATAGTCCCAAGCCTGTATATCCACCGTTCTGTTTTAATTCCACAGTATCTGTAAGCAGAATAGAATGTCAAACCTCATTACGGACTAAGGACGACGTATTCCATTGACAAGCTTATCATTGAATTACATCAAACAAACTGGTTAGTCGAAATTGACAGGTTTATTTTATCGCTTTACATTCAGTTGTATCTACTAGATGAAAGGTATTTACAGAAGTATATATATCGGAAGAAGAGATAGGAAAGTCTTACAGTGACAATGTAAATACATCTTTTGCCCAACAGAATATTCTTTTACAAGTCATCATAGTGTTTTTCAGTTAAAAAAAACATAATCATGGAAATAAAATTATATCACAATATTGAAATAAAATATGGTTTTGTGAAATTTTCTTAGATTTTCATAAATACCACAAGTTTTGTGATTACTTCTTATGTTTATTGTTGAAAAAAATGTTTTTTAGAACCTTAGATTACACTAATGGATTACATATTTTGTCGCTATGAACTTATGAACTATGAGAATCAGGTATTGATTAGCTAATTATATTTGTATTTACAATAACACTAAACCTTTATTTATGACAATTGACATTTTTAAAAATGTATTATCATTTAGGCTAAGTACCACGTTAAATAACTGCACGCAAGAAAGAAACTAAGTGATAAGACAATGTGAACAGATGGTACAAGCAATTTTAAATACAGTCATCGTGAAATAGTGCATTTAAACTGTTGTTATATATGTGATTTGATAAGCGTTTATTCTAAAATCAAAAAACCTTAGTTTACTTACTCGGATAACTTTCCCTGTCACGTCAACGGACAAGCTGAACATTGGTGAACGTCCAGTCGACCTTAATATTGGTAAAATCCAATCAGTAAAGCTGGATTTGTCCATGAACTGTTTGACGGTATTACTTCCCGGTGTAGTCTGAATGATTTCCGGCAAAAGTTCCCAACCACCAAATGTAAGTTTTATCAGTTCATGCGTCTGAAGTTTTAGATTATGTGAGGAAATATGCTTCCTATTAACACATGACGCATAATACTTTTGAGCATTTTCCAAATGTAAATCATTGTTAGAATAAGATTTATTGTCTAAAAATATACATATAAATAGTGAATAAATTCCCATGACATGTAATTAAGAACACATGAATTAGCAAAGATGTCTGTTTTTGTAACTCAGCTTCAAAGCTTTGCAGTTATTTAGACGTTCATACATAAAATGTTAATTGACAAAAGAGATCAGGGTTATGATTTACGAGTGATGGGTGGATAATATTATCATCGATGAAACAAACTGACCAAAACAAACACCTGGAAATCTTTAACAGCGCTCATCGATCAACTGGATTTAAAATTGAAGCTAAATCAGAGGGTAAATTATCCCTCCTGGATGTCCAGCTTACAAGACGACCAAATGAAAGTCTACAAAGATCAACTTACTGTAAGCTGAAATGGAATGGATAGCTGGAAATCTTTCACAGTTATGTCTCAACAGGAAGAAAAAGAAATTTTGTCGACTCTCTAGCAACAAGAATTTACCTCATATGCATGAAAGACTCACTGAATAGGGAATTAGGAACATTAGGAAAAACGCTAATCAGAAATGGATATCTAACCTCCTGAATCCACAAACATCTAGAAGAAAACACCAGCACTCCATACCAACAAAATCTGGGTGTACTGGGTTGAGGACACAACTAATTGTGAATCTGAAATCCAAGAGAAATACAACCAGAGAACTTCTCCGAAACCACCTGTCGACAGAAATTTGAAGAACCTTCTCTTCTACATTTCTACAACACACCTTCTCCACTCATCATCTCGTTCACCCCAACATGAATGATACGATCGCATTGTTGGAAACTTCAATGTGCATTCATCAATTCACTCAATCCTGTGGAGTCAAATACATCGACTGTGTCAGCATGACATTGTCTATACTCGCGTATGGACACTCAGGTGTGTGGTTGTGTAAAGGTAGTGGTGGTGGAACAGTGTACAAGTGTATTGTGGAGTACATGATTACTTCTGGTTGTTCAGCGTCAGCATCGACTTCATTCACATTCATATATGTATGTGTCTGTATGTCTGGTTCTATGAAGTTGTCCAAGATGATGTCACCTACATGTTCAAGTGATTATTCATCACTTAACTAGTTAATTGTCATCCCTGGAGATTGTGTAGTATTATACATGGTGTTTGAAGCATTGACAATAGAGTTGGACGTGTGTTGTCAGCTAGCATAGTAAAAGTAGTACCCGTATATGATTGTAGAGCTTTGAAAAGAACTTCGTTAAAGTGATTTCTTGGCTGATTTATGTGTTCTTAGTGAAATTAATATTAACATTCATGAAAAATTATAAAAAGGTTGTAAGCAGAACGAAAGAATTTTACCATCTCATATCTTTTTAAGACACCTTAGTTATTTCAGATGAGCATGCAGAGTCTGTGAAAAGAATCTGTTCTTTAAGAGATAATTTCAATGGATCAAGTATTTGAAGTGAAGATGATTGGGCGTCTGTATAAATTTCAGACAATATTATGTATATTAGATTTCTTCTTCGTTTGAAATAACATGCATTTCTTTTATTACAATATCCGGATCAATTTTTACTAGTTATTCACAGGCTCTTGATATTTTGCAAACATGAACGTCTTGTAATTACAGATTTTATTTGACTTTGAAGTATGGAGGCATTCAATGTAATAAGATGATATCTGAAGCTGAGATTAGTGTCCTAAAAAGGTTTACACTAAGACTGATATAAGTGTAGAATTTGGGCATTGTGGTAGAGTATAGCTCGCTAACACACAAAATTTTATTTGATAAAAACATGGTGAGTGAGACAGTATTATTTGTCTTTGTGATGTCTCGAGCCCAATTTACTCATAATAATTATATCAAGTTGCTAACATAACTGTCAAACTTGGTTTATATGGTAAAGTTACTTCTTTTCGTTTGATTTTATTACTAATGGTTGTTTCTTCATCGCCACTATTGGAGTTTGTGTAATTCTGATCCCATGTGTCAGGCGTAGATTCGTTGAACTGAGATCCAGTGATCAATCTGTCTCACCATCTAACCATAATACTTTTTACATCTGCAGCCTTGTCCCTTTTTATGGCTTTAAAAGGGCTTAAAGTAAGTAAATGGTGATCCCGAAATTACTCATAGTAGAAAGCCACACAATGAGAAAATGATTATAGGAATTTAATTGTCTTGTATCTATTGCTGTTAAATTCCAGGAGAAGAAAATGGTTCTCAAAACATTGATTTACACCCCAAAGGTATGTACGGGTTATGTGAATAACACCTTCACTCTGATAGAAACAGAACATGTCTCGAGTTTCGTTACAAACGGTATATTGAATATTAGGGGGGGGGGGATGAGACTTTCATTTGATTTAGAAAGTGAACAAGAAGAAATATCTATGCCAGATTGTATAATAAAACGAACAGAATACGGACAAGTATGCACAGCTGTTTTATAAAAAGCCATTGCAGTCCAGCAGATATACTTCAAGTCATTTCATGCGCTGTCTTCAAAGGCAAGCTTAGTTAAGTATCTAATCAACACAGTAACAATCCCAAGCAGCATATCACAGTGCCTAAATATTGAAATGAGACAGAAGACAGTGGCAATGGTGCTAAATAACTATCACTTAAAATTCGTTGGGAAGCTCAAGAAAATCCACCTTAAAGGGAGAAATGGTGGTGAAAATATTGACATTGCATAAATACGAAGATGTTTAAGGCAGTGTTGCCATATAAGAAAGCGAGCGGTTGACCACCAAATCCTAGATTGTCGAATCTACACCTGACACTTGCAGTAGGAATGAGGCAACACAAACACCTTAGATATTGAAAATATCATTACTAGAAAATTCAAAGGATAACATACACTTGAACGATGTAAAGAAAGTAACTTAGTGGATGGTGACTAGCAGTGGAAAGCAGGATGAGTATTTCGTCCTGTTTGGGACTCGTCGCTAGATGTACCTGAATTCTCCAGTCAGTGAGTAGTTGTTTTCCCACTGGGGATCGGACTCAATACCCATAGTTTCAAACGTCAAAGAGTTAACCATTAGACTACTTGGGTCACGAGAGTCACCTCTTTCTTTATTTTTCATTCAATTTTGATTTTCCTTATGATTGATTGCACTCAGATGTTCGACTTCGGTGAGAACACCATCACTTGCTGACTGGAGAATGCAGGTGCATGCAGACACCGAGTTCCAAATAGGACGAAATGTGTACCCTGGATTCCACTGCTAGTCATCATCCACCAAATTACTTCGAGTTAGTCCTGAGACGTCGTCGAAGCATCCGCACAAGGAGCCAACTTGTCGGTAACAGAGGCCGAATACTTCGGTTCAGTCAGTCAACGAGGAAATCAAGACTGAATTAAAAATAAGTAGTATAAAGCAATTCTGAAAGCTGTGTTAGCATACTGGTATAGTTATTAGGCATAAATTGTACTGGAAACATCATCATGAAAATAAATAATTCTGTATCAATGTAATGTCTCATCCAGTGAAACTATTCTACTTAGGTATTTATATCAGTATGTTTGCGTTTAAAGAAAATTGTAGAACCCTGACTATTTTTTAAGCATCGATTATAACATGCATTTCAATCAGTATAGGTAACGTTTGATTATAGTAGAAGCAGGATGAAGCTCTTGAGTCAACAAAGTTAGCAATAACTTTTATCAAAAATCGTAGTGATAACTAAAGTTTCTTTACCAAATTTCTTTCTTTCCTGTTCTGATGAAATTTCTGCAAATCTCATAATGCAGTTCATCACAAGACTTTCAGTTGAATTATTTCACGTCTGGTCACAGAGTGATATTAGTCAGCAAGCCATTTAAAACCAGAGCGTACCCAACAGGTGTTTTATCCTGGTTTTGGACTCTTCAGCAGTTCACGAACTGGGCTCGTCGACCATTCAGCTACTACGACGGAATCCGAACTTTAAACAAAAATCAAATCCCTACAGACTGACACTTGAAAATTAATCTGATGTTCACCAATCACTGGCTGCAGAACAAAGTTGGCTGGAGTTCTATTAAGTAGTCATGACCCGCGGGGTTCACCAGGTCAGAAGTGAGGACAAATACTCGCTAGCACTAAAAATTGCAAATCGGCATGGGTCACAACAGATAGGGCATCAGATTCCATCTGAGTGGCTGAAAAGTGAGCGACCTCGCCGCTACTGGGTTCGAGCCTCGGAGGAAGTATACTATGAAGGGTCCCAAACTAGGATGGAACAGCCATCCAACACTCTCTGGTTTCTGATGGTACTATAACTCATATCAATCCGTGACCAAGCTTGAAACCAATCAAATCCGTATAAACTAACACTTGAATAATTGATTATTAGTGAAAGAAGAATAGAATCGGTGGGTGAATTAAGAATAAAATAGAGATTTATCCTGGTCCTGATTCAAATACTAGCTGGATTGATTTTTGTTTTATTAAACTAATACTTATACAAAGAAAAAACTGCAGTTTAATTTTCAACAACCGGCTAAGTTATGAATTGGATACACTCTGAAGTGGTTTTCTTTTTTAAGCTATGAAAAATTAATCGGCTAACACTTACATATTTTACTGAAAGTTTACGGATACTTACTCATTATTTTCCAGAAGTACCGGTTTATTTCCATATAAGCCTTTGAAAATGTATTTATCCCGACCGAGTCTTCTGGAATGTCATTATTTTCCTCCCATTCAGCACAGGCATACTGATAGAAATCTTCACAAGGACTGTATAGAGATGTGTTGTTCGTCTTATGTTGATCTAAAATTTTTGGAAAATAACTGAAGTTAAGGTAGGAATCATTCTTGAAGAATCACAGCAATTATACAAACACAGGAATTTTATGTTTTCAACTGATGCAAACGGTATATTACTGACAATTAACATTACTTAAAAACAACTGAAAATAGAATGACTAAAGTTTTACATGGTTTATATTACTTTTAATTATTATAATTATATTATTGTTCCCTTGGGTTCCTAGTGGAACATAGGGCTTCAACTGCACGTATCCACTTGCTTCTGTCTTCTGCTGTACTTTTCACTTGCATCCATGTTAGTCCATGCTGTTTCAACTCCTCTTCACACGACCTCCTCCATGTCACCCTTGGGCGTCCCACTCGCCGCTTCCCTTTCGGGTTCCACTCGAGCTATGGCCTGACTTGCGATGTCACCCAGCGGCCTCCTCAGCCACTGAGTGTCCAATCCATCTCCATTTTCTCCTGCATACTTTTTGAGCGTTTGGTTTTTGTTTCGTTTGTCCCCATAGTTAGTATAAATGACCACATGGTGGACTGTAAGCTTTCAGATCAGATTTTAAATGAAAAGATCTTTTCTTTATATAAAACGAAAGCGTCGGTGGCACAGCGGTAGAATGCTCACTAAATACGCGGGTGGTTTAGGGTTCTATCCCCGGCCACCGACTCACTCCTTTACTTCGCTAAGCCAGTAATAAGACTGGTAAAGAAGGAACGTTATGCATGAGGCTAACAACTCCATCCCGTAAAAATAAATTACACTATTACTGAAACTTCGAAGCTTTGACTTGAAGCCCTATGTTCTACTGGGAACGTAAAGAAAAATGACAGTAAAACGGAGCAGTTTTTGATATAGTACCTTCAAGTATCAATGGTTTTGAGGGAATGCATATTTTATTACTAACGAAAGAGAATCAGAAAAGTACAGAAAAATCTAATAAGGTAACTGAAAGTGCGACTGATAGATTTGAATAATAAAACAAACAGGTACCTAGGTCAATTAATGAAGTCTGAAGACGTTGTCTAGACAAGCAATGAAAGCTTTACAGAGAAACCACCCGTCCCAGAGAACATAACTACACTAATATAATTATTATAATAACATTTCGTGTCAATGTCAGTTTCAAGGATAAGTGTTATTGTCTGGTGAGTAAGTTGCATGTAATTATTAATCATCATGCAGTAACACTGTTTCTCTCTGTGTATAGAAATGTTAACCTAACCAATAATAGAAAAAACCCATCAAATCAGTCAGCATACTTAATGAATTTTGTAAGTCTTGTGTCGAATAACATCGTGGTGGCTTCCACGAAGAAATGTTGCTTAAATAAGAGTGTATATCAGTTCCCTTATAATGACTATGATTGTCTATCGAAATAATACATCCTTTAGATGACTGATAAGAAGAAGGAAGAGAAAATAGATGAAGTTAAACTTGAGACACTGAAATGGCACGGATGCGCTGAAGACCTAGGAACCCTCAGTCAGTAAGGTTGTGAAACCACGGAAATAACGCTGTATTCATAAAAAATATGCTTGATGAAGTTTTATGATATTAAATCAGATATCTGGTAAGTTGTAGGCCGGGTTTTGTTAAGACTGAGGTGAGGTTTAGATAAGGAACAGGTTAAGATAAATTAGAATTAAGATTAGAAGACCAAATCTACCTTTCAGCTCTAAAGAGCTCTTTCTAAGATCATTAGTGACTTCGCGCCACTTCGGTGCCTAAAGTTTAACTTTTCCAAAAAGTAATTCAATGAATTGAAATCAAATGAAAACCTGATAATAACTTGACTAGAGAAAGGTTCTGGAATAGTTCTGCTCAACAAGTCAGGTTATGCGAAGAAACTCTAGCTAGTTCTATCTGATGACAACAAATTTCAAAAACAGGCGATCCAAAAAGATACAAGTGAACAGATGGAGCTCCAGCTTACCAAATTATTGAAAAAAATGAAAGATGAATCAATTATTTATACAAAACTATATGAACAACTTCGTCCACCTGGTTCTACATCGCCACGAATGTTCGCACTACTCAAATTTCTCCAAAAAAGGATAATAAGGAAGAGGTGAGTAGCAGAAAGGGAATTTTTTAAATTTCTAACAACACACTTATAGGTTAAAACAGAATGATGGGTGTTGGATTTCATTTAACTTGAAAGGTAGTCCCACCTAATTACCAAGATCTAATTTAGAAACTAACAAGTAGCCATGATAACGGTAAATAATAATAATAACGATATTAGCTATGAATGTGATAAAAATAGGCCTCGTAGCATTGTCATCGGTCAACAAACCATGATACAAAAGGCATCCCTTCTGGGTAATTCTTGAACTTGCATTTCCAATGTCTGAGTATTGCAGGTAATTTTCACTAGGTCGTGGTTATTAATATCATCTGCAGAGCTTATCTTTTGAATAATTTCACAGTTTCTTTCATCATAAATATTTTCCACAAATTTTTTATGCTGGAGAACACAAGTTAGATTTAGACCACCTTCTAACTACTAACACTGTAAATAAATTCGTGATAATAAATGACAGGATCTTTGGTAAATTTTTATTATGCATTCACCCAGATTACTCCCCAATGGAACTCAGTATATTCTATTCAAACCTTGACACCAAAATCTTTCATGCATGGAATTCCCCATTGGGATGATGATTACAAACTGTCGTATGATTAAACACTATCAATTCGTACATAATTGTTATTTCTCTTTGTCCTTATTTTCATTACTTTAATTAAACCGTGTTTGTTTAGGGGTTTTTTAATTAACATAGTAGAATGTTTAAACTTTCATCATTCCGTAAAGAAAAAAGCAAAGAGTAATCTTACCTAAAGACAAATTCAGGATCAAATATATCGCTGCGCCAATTGCTGCTGCAAATATGATTGTCGCAGTTACTATTTGGCAGCAGCAGCATATCTTCATTTCAAGCGTCTTTATTCAACGTCACTTCTTTGCAGAATAATTTCACCTATTCTCTGTACTCTTTATATACTTGAGATTGTTTTGAATCACTCTGTTTTATTCTGATGAATACAACTCTCAGTTTTAACTTTTATAATGAAGTAATTTTGTAAAATTTCAGTCTGTTGTTCTACTGCTTGTTTATTTTCACTGAATTTTCTTTCTAATTTTAATATATATTTCTGTCACTGTCATCTGTTATATTTAGTAATAGCAAATAATTGTTCATTTTTATTTCAGAAAAATTCTTGCTGTATTATTTAAAGCTTGTTTTTTTTTCTTCTGAAGATTATTTCTGACCTTAGGGTCACCGTAGAACAATTTCTTTATGTATACAATTTTAATTCTTGTGTAATCTTGCAAAATATGTGTTGTACTCAGCATTTAATTAAATAAGACTAATTAATTATGCTGTTACTTAGGATTTGTAACCCAAGGTTTATTTGGTTATGTTCTGTGTTATTCTATGGTAGTTTTTTAAAATATTTTTTTATTTCATCTAAGTTAAATACTCAGCATTATTTGTGGAAGTGACATTTATAGTTAGCAGTTAGATCGATGAAATGTATCCTGATGTAATCAGTACTTCTGATTATCTTTGTTTGAATGTGTTTTTCCATTTATGCTTTTCAAGTAGGATGTCTGATAATGACAACCGAATGATCTTGTCAGGATTGAATGAAAACTTGAGGACAATCGTAGAACCAAGTGAAATTGATAGCAGGGAGTCAAGAATAGTGGAGATATGCTGACAAAACTGTGTATGTGTGTGTGTTCCACTAGAAACATGAGGAACGAATAATACTAATGTCATTATTATTAATTCTGAGCTTTAACCTGAATGAAATCTTAATGGTTATTAACAAATGGACCTTAATCTCTTCGCTAATTATCAAGTGTTGATTTGCAAGGATTTAATTGTTGATAGGTTAGAAAGAGAGCCGACATCAGTTAAAGAAGTATTGGAAAACCGGGGAGTACTGAACATCTATTTCGTCCCAGTCTAGGACTCCTCACAGTATGCACCCTCTCGTGTTCGAATGCAGAAACTTTCGAACACCAGGCAAGCTAATAGACCATTCAGCCACTGGAGTCTGATCCATTGGCCCGTGAATTTCAACTTCTTCGCGATATATAGCCCAACCGCTAGCCGATATAGTAGGCTAGTAAGTGTTCTCTTGTCTGATTTGGTGGGCTCCAGCGGTTACGATGTCTCTCTAGAACTTCAAGTAACTTTCTGTATAGAGCCAGTCGCTAGTGAGGATCAGATTAATTGCTCATTACCAAACTGAATACCACAAATTCAAAGAAATTCTTGTATTTTTAAACTGAGATCTCAGTAAGAGAGGGAGATGCTGTTTCACTACTTGAATAAGCATACACTGACCTATACCGATACTGGTTTGGTTGTTGAAATAATTTTGTGTATACCGTCTTTGTATTGCCTCTCCAACTTGATTACTGAATAGATCAATTTTCTATTTCCCCAAAAACTCAGTGTATAATTCTTTCTTTTGGCTTACACATATCTTAATAAATACCATTTGATATCTGTTTTCACTGAGACAAAAATCTGATATAATCTTGTTTCTCCCTTCTCATTACATACTTTTTATTCTTCATTCCTTTCACCCAGCTGTTATTTTTAATCTAAACTTTAATCACCCATTTGCTTCACCTTTGTAATATGATTTTGACCCAATTTGATTGTAGCAATTCTTTGCATCACGTTACTATTTCCACTACTCTTATCTCCAGTTTCTTTAGGTATTTACACTTTTATTATTACTGAAAACATTAATAATTATTTCTTTTATATGCATAGTTCATTGTGTCTCAAGAGTATTAATATGGTTTCTGCAGTTTGGCAGGTTCAGTGTCGAATACCTTCTGACGCTTTGTAAAGTACACAGTGTACGCTGTTAGATAATTGGTCAATACTTGCTTCAGTCACTTTGAACCACGTTTTCCAATATCACACCATTATCGCTACAGTTCCTATGTAAGAAAATTTTATTTTTGGTTACAGCTTCATGCCACACCGTATTTTTAGTACATTTTCAGCATGCATATCGGTAGCCCAAATTTTGCAGGCCGACCATAGATATCGGGTGTGCGTCGAAAGGGGATCGAACCCCGGACCATGTGCATGGTTGGCGAGAGTCTTAACCACTGTGCCACCGACGCACTTAATCAGTGGATGACTTAGCAAGTTCGACAGTAGCAGGTGAAATGAAAATGTGATAGAAAGAGGCAGCTAGACCAGTTGCTTCATCTTTCATAAGCTTTATTACAACTGGGAATGAGTTATGATTTTTCCAGTTGGGCTGTTTCAGTACTCGCCGACCACGCAGGTGGTTTGTGGTTTGACCTCCGGCTACAGACGCACTCCTTTACCTCACTAAGCCAGTAATTAGACTGGTAAAGAGGGAAGGTTGGGCATGAGGCTAGGAACCCCATACCGTAAAAATAAACACTACTGCTACAGAAACTTCGAACCTCTAGCTTGAAGCTCTATGTTTCACTGGTAACGTAAAGGAATAAAAAGAAGGAAATAGAGGTCATTAAGAGGGAGTCCTGTGGGGATTCTATTGCAACTGCTTACACATGTCTGTAAAATTAACCATAAAGTTAGAAATTTCACTTTGACAATTTCCATTTCTCACTTAACTCATTCAGAAATGTGCGAAACAAGGAGTTTTATGAACTTTACTGTTTCCTCTGAGACAAAGTAAATGTATGTTAAAGTGCATTGTAGCTGTTAGTAAGAATAAAAAGTTATTTAATTATGAGGTTATTTTTAGAAATTTAAATTTAGTTTCAAAACAACAAAAAGAATCCATGGGCCATTGGATTAGGTCTCAGTGGCTTAATGACCTACGAGATCGTTGGAATCGTAACCAGAAGGTCCTGGGTTCGAACCCTGGTGGGTGTGTACTGATGAAGAATCCCGAACTAGGGCGAAACAGCTGTCCACTACTCAGGTTTTCCAATGGTTCTCTAACTGATGTCAGCTTATAATGAAATCCTGAAACCAAAAAAATCGAAGCTAAAATTTTAGAACTCACTGATACCATCAGATTTTATCACAGTCCACTGAATCATTAACAAATTTTTAGATGACACTTGACAGTAAAATAAGTGCCAACATACTTTCAAGTTGAAAACTGGATCAGAACATTAGTAAAGTAATTTGAATCAGTTGTAGAAAGGGTGAAAACGAAGCTGTAGATACAAAAACCTGTAGTTGACCATATTTGTTCAAAGATTTTGAACTGTTAAAACGAGCAGTTTACAAAATCATGCTTACTGGAATATCAGAAAGATCAGTTTGTTACAATCGATAATTATTATTATTGTTCCCTTGGGTTCCTAGTGGAACATAGGGCTTCAACTGCACACCTCCACTTGCTTCTGTCTTCTGCTGTACTTTTCATTTGCATCCATGTTAGTCCGTGCTGTTTCAACTCCTCTTCACATGATCTCCTCCATGTCACCCTTGCACTGACGTCCCACTCGCCTCTTCCATTTCGGGTTCCACTCGAGTCATGGCCTGACTTGCGATGTCACCCAGCGGCCTCCTCAGCCAGCGAGTGTTCAATCCATCTCCACTTTCTCCTGCATATTTGTTGAGCGATTGGTTCTTGTTTTGTTTCTTCCCATAGTTTCTTGTTGATGATTCTTTCCGGCCATTTGATCTTCAGTATAGAGCCAGCGAAGACAGTTGTTGATAAAGGTCTGAAACAGGCTGTTGGAAATATTCTTAGTGACTCGCCAAGTTTCTGATCCGTATAGAAGAAGTGACTAACTTGACGTTCGTATTGAAAATCCGAATTTTGTTGTTTATGCTGAGTGACAGCGGAAGATTTCCAGATTGGTTTCAGGTTGATGAATGTGTTTCTCGCCTTCTGATTCTCGATTTGACATCCTCGTTCGTTCCTCCTGTAGTTGAGACAATGCTCCCTAGATAAGTGAAAGAAGTGACTTCTTTCAAATCCCTCCCGTTGATGGTGTTTGGTGCTGGATGTTGCTGCTGCTGTTGTTGTTGTTGGTTGGTTGGTTATTTTCATAACCTCCGTCTTGTCTATGTTCACCTGGAGTCCTGTCTTCTCTGACTGCTTCTTCGACCAGTTTGTCGGTTTTCGCTTGTAAGCCTTCAATTTTGTGTGACATCAAAAATAAATCATCCACGCGCGAAATCCAGATCTTCTAGGTTCTTCACGTTGGTCCAGGATATCCCTATCTTCTCGTTTCCCGCCGTCTGATGCATAATCCAGTCCACCACAATTAGGAATATCATTGGTGATAATAAGCACCCTTGTCTGACTCCTGTGTTTACTCCAAACGCCTCGCTGAGTTTTCCGTTGTGGAGAATTACTTTCATAAAAAGCAACCACTCTGTAGGAAGAAGCAAAAGGATAATAGATGGTTGGAGGCAATTGGCCACAGGAAGCCTTGGACCTAGGTTGCGTTCTAGTTGGCACTCACCAGTCAGCAAGGCGCATCTGCAACCTTGAAGAAACTCATATCCCTTTTGAGATTCGAACCAGCGTCACGGAATGCTGCAGTCAGGGACCTTACCACTGAGCTATTTGAGTTAATGACTAACCTCCTTTAGGACTGTATTGGATACTTTGATTGGACACTAGTAACTAGTGTGATGAATACAATACAGTCCTACAGAAGATCAATCGCGAGCCTGAATAGGTCACTGCTAACGTCTCTGACTACAGCATTACGTGACGCTGATTCGAATCTCAGAAGGGATATGAGTTTCTTCAAGGTTGCAGATGCGTCTTGCTGACTGGTGAGTGCCAACTAGCACGCAGCCTAGGTCCAAGGCTTCCTGTAGCCGATTGCCTCCAACTATCTAAAAGCAACAATTCAAAGTGCACCGTGATGGTAACCTAACTAAATTGGTGGCCATATTGCAAACCTGACTGATAGAATTCAGTCTGCACCAAACAAATGACTAGACACATCACACTAGTTACTTATGGCCAATCAGAGAAGCAAAAGCAGTTATATGTCTAAATTGCAATCAATAAACCTAAACATATCCGTCCGAATGATAGTAAAGGCGATCAAATTTCTAGAAATTCTTCCAGGTCTGGAAGTTGAAAGAAAATGACA